ACTTAAAACTTAATTTAACATCAGTCTCTCCTTTTCATTCTATATAAAGAATAACAAGGATACACTGTTGCCAAATTTAAGTTTAGGTGTAGAGAATCATGTCCGAATCGTGGCATGATTTTCTTTATTTTGAAGAGAGAAAAGAACACTTCGCCTAATGCCGGAACTTCAATTAGCTATTGGTATTTGCTATTTGTAAACTTGACAAGTCTTTCCTTATCATACTCTATAAGGAATGAAAAGGATAGACTGATACAGACCCGAGCTACCAATAAGGAAAAGCCGCGGCCGCCACTGTCTGTGAGATACAACACTTTTAACAACATCTATTGGCAAGCAATTTTATAGGTAGGCACGACAACAAAAAACAATCTTCACACTAACATAAGTTTACGAAAATTAAAAGTTTTGGTAAATAAATTAGTTCGATTACTCTTCTAAGGCAAGCACTATGAGCGGATTTCAATTTATATTTAGTGATCATCCAAAACTTTCGATAATTGTAAGGCGTTACTCCTACAAACTCTCCGATTGCACTTCACTTGACTATTCGTGTTTGCTATTTGTAAACTTGACAACAGTCTGTCCTTATCATGCTTTATAATGAATGAAAAGGAGTCCTTATCATGCTCTATAAGGAATGACTAGGAGTTTCTTATCATGCTTTACAAGAAATGAAAAGGAGTCCTTAACATGCTATATAAGAAATGAAAAGGAGTCCGTATCATGCTTTATAAGGAATGAGAAGGAGTCCTTATCATGCTCTATAAGGAATGAATAGGAGTTTCTTATCATGCTTTATGAGGAATGAATAGGAGATTCTTATCATGCTTTATAAGGAATGACTAGGAGTTTCTTATCATGCTTTATAAGGAATGAAAAGGAGTCCTTATCATTAAATAAAACTAATTATAACGGGTTTATTTCCATTATTTATAATTTCGTCTTTATTCTGACGATGAAACTTCAATAAATAAATAAAGTTCGTGCATTAACCCGTTAAAACTAGTTTTATTTAATGAGTGATGTGCGTGAAAACCTAAGAAACAGTCCTTATCATGCTTTATAAGGAATGAAAAGGATTCCTTATCAGGCTTTATAAGGAGTCCTTATCATGCTTTATGATGAATGAAAGGAGTCCTTATCATGCTTTATAAGGAATGAAAAGGACAGACTGACTGATATCAAGTTTACAAATAGCAAACACGAATAGCCAAGTAAAGTTCCGGCATAACATTCAATCTGAAGTGTGCATTTATCACAAACATACAACACATACAACATTGATTATAATGTGTATTACTACTTACAAAACCGTGACTCAAGTTAGACTTGATTTAGACCCAAACCGCCTTATTACAAAACATTGACTAAGTTAAATCTGGTTCTATGGCTGTCTCTGCCTACTCGTTAGCAAAGGAAGGAGATAGTATATTTTTCTCAAATTTGGAAAGAAATGTAATATAACTTCTCTTTTCCACCTATAAAATAGGAGAAACAGTTACACGAAATTCCCAGGTTTAACTTTATTCATCTTTTTCGTAATAAGAGAAAATATATTTGATTATCAAAATGTCAGTTAAACATCGATTGCCACATCTTATTACCTATTAAACATTAGATTAAATCAGCATTTAAATATTAAAAACCATTTTAGTAATACAAACACGAGATAAAATAAACCCTGTTACTTATATAAAAATAAAAAAAAACATCCATTCCATAATCTCGACCATTGCATTGCGCCAAAGGAATCAGTACCCTTAGCAAGAACCAATATCGAATTCGATCTCGATACGCGTCAAATGTCAAAATACTTTTGTATGAAAATGTTGACAGCGCCACAACGGATTTAACGAGAATTCAATATCTTTCATACAAAAAACATTTCTTGGCAATTTGACGCGTATCAAGATCGAGTTCAACTATTCGGATTCGATTGGCTCGTGCTAAGGGTACAGTTTAGTATTTCTAAAGTATATCTACAAAATAGTACTTCAGCAATTATACGATACAACCTACTCGCATCTAACCATTCCACTTTAAACTATTTAACACTAATCATTAACTATAACGAAATTGCAACAGCAAATTGTAAATATTACACATCGTAGATACATTGCAATGTCATAATGGATTAAAGGTGGATCCTTAAGGCGCAATTATACTTAGTCGTTAGCCCGAATTCGGGTGCACGAAAAAAGTTAGTTGATTTTGAGCACCCAAAGCAATAACTACATTGTTTTACTCATACGGGGATAGAACCCTGCACCCGCGATGTCAGATTGGGAGGAACCAAAACGAATATGGCCGTAATCGACTCCGTTCATTTACACTTAAGTGTAATTGCGCCTACAAGGATCACATGATATACAATTCATTCAACAAATATTGAACCAAATAAAAACTTCAAAGTCTTCTAGTCGTACTCAGACACATTAGTTGAATTTAAAGCTTCCTTTAGTAACGTGTTGTCTCAGTCTATTGTCTGATGGTGAAAATAAATTCAATTATCAAGTAATTCTCAAAATAATATTAATTAATTCAACAACAAAAAAAGACAACGGACAACGCTAACATTAATCAAACTTATAAGTTAGTACACTATACGTCTCTGAGTGTGACCGTTACTATAGATAGATGATGGATTTAGAAATAATATTCATTGTTGATGAAATAAAAATAATGTTATTTATCATTATTTTTATAATAATGAATGCATCATTATGTCTATACTTTCTTATTTACAAAATCTAATTTATATGCCAGTAATTCTATCTATGAATCTACTTTGGTCCTGGTCTAACTCTATGATGAACAATATTTGATATGCTTAATGATGGTCGGATTTGTCTATAATGATAGAAATAAGGAAATATGAGGTAAGCTAATAGTTCATGTTTGGTTCTAATTCATGCAATGCACATGTTTTTAATGCCTATGGGTGTCCAATAGAAATGCTTATGGATAAACAGAAAGACTTTAGCGGTGTCAATTCTGTCACGCTTTTCTTAACTTAAAACTGAATTTTAATTCAGTCTCTCCTTTCCATTCTGTATAGAGAATGACAAGGATACACAGCTGACAAATTTAAGTTTAGGTTTATAGAATTATGCCAGGATTGATACCATTAGAGTCCTAATAATTTGAATGAACTATATGACAAGTGATAAATATTTATTTATTTATTATGAGTAAGTAATGCCAAATAGAAATAGTTATGATGAAAGCCTTTTCTATTTTATTGGTAATTAATTACATTTTATAGGTACAACTACATATCTCTCCCCCGTGTGCGCCCCGCACGTCACATGATCGTATATGCCTCTTTCGCACCATACTCAAACTCTCTTTCTCTCTCGTATACAATTGACATTGAAACTAAGACCTATTCTAGACGGATGTAATCCAGCGTACCAACCAAGGTGACTTTGGTGGGAAGTTGGTTTCCATCCGCGTTGATTTTCGACTACACGGATGTAATCCACGCGCGAACACGCAATCGCGAGCCGTCATCAACACGCGCCCGTAATCCAAGGGCGTTGAAGGTCAAATCAAAATTTGGATTACATCCTTCGTCTAGATGGATGGCAACGGGCAAGGTCACCTTGGTTGGTACGCTGGATTACATCCGGCTAGAATAGGTCTAACTGCCATGACATAAAATGAATGGTCTTCTAGAATGGTCAGAGACCGACCGTCGGTTCCTGACTATATATCGGTCGGTTTCGTGCGTCGTCACATTGTCGTGCCGTGTCACGATTACTAATAACTTTCATTCTTGTTGCTATCCCTATATCGTATATCAATATGTAGGGGACACCTCAAGCTTGCTAGCTAGCCTCTGAATAAGTCAACTGTAATACGAAATGTTTGTACTGTTGTCTGTAGAAATTAGACGTTCGCCGTCCCGTGTTGCGTAAAAATCTTCCGCTCTCATGTTAAAAAGGCGCCGCTCGGTCGTTTTTTGGTGCAGTTTTGAGTGCGATTGGTCTATTTGTTTCTAATATGTCAACGGTTGAAAGCCAAAAGAATGTGTCTCAGCCATTGATTTATAAAATTAATTCAATGGACACACTGATGATGAACATACAACATGCTTACGACATGTTTTTGAGCAAGAACTAAATTAACAAAATATTTTTGGAAAACCAAATGCAACTTCGTTTTTCAGTATTCTCCGTCCATCTATGACATTGTAATGTAACAATAGCACTTAAAGCGAGTGGAATGATTACAAATACTACAAAAAACACCTTTTCAATTATAATGGTATTTTTATAAAGAGATCATAGGGTATTTTCAGTCTCACAAGTATGAACTTGTTCAATTCCATTATTTGAATTCAATTAGCAATAAATTTTAATCAATACAAAATATACAATGGAATGTACTGTTGGATTACTAATAATAATAGTTCTTTATTAATATTTACAATTTATAACAAAACTATAGTCATAATTTAATAAAATATGAATAGAGTGAGTCACTCTGTGAATGAACAGATAATTAATAACTTTAATTTCTTTCTTTAAAATAGCCACTTATGCTAAAATTATATAAAATAATATAATTTCCTCATAACATAATGTATTGATACTGCTGGAAGCCCAAGGGAGCAAATAATAAATAATATTGATGTACAAAGAACACCAGTTTAGCTTCTATAAAAATGAGTAATACTAGAGGATAAATTATTATGTTTTACATATCCAATAATGTCAATTATGGCTAAGGAGCTCCATATGATCCATGCGACATATAAAAAACAATAGAATTTAGAATTCTAACATAACTTTTAGAGCTAAACTTTTTTTTCAAAGTATGTAAAACACAGTATATTATTTATTGCATAAGCAACACCTTTCACAGAATATTAACCAATATACACAAACTTTTAGAACAAAGAACTATTTAATGAACTAAAATACTTGATAAAAGCAGTTTCAGTTCTTTGAGAATTAATAAAAATAAATAAAAAAAGAGTAGAAAAATTAGATCCCTTTGGAATTCTTAATCTATTTAATCTTCCGTCCCTGTATTCAAACTGAACCTGTAGGTACCATGAACCAGTTACGTTAATGATCCTCTATAAAAATACCCATTTATACCTCTAATAATGCCGATGAGATAAATTCGTTAGTTTATGATCGAAGACAACAGGAGCTATCTCCAACAGATGTAGTTTTTCCATTGATGGGCCCTAAGCTACCATCATATTTAGGAAGTTCTTTGCATTTTGCTTGCTGAAATTAGAGAAAAATAAAATTTACATCTTACACTAATGAATATATAAGAATATCTTCTAATATAGAAAAAATTGTGTATACTTTATATTTTAAATGTGAAAGTTTATCTGTCTTCCTGTCTGTCAGTTACCTTAATGCTTAAACCACTTAATTGATTAAGATGAAATTTGGTATAGAGATAGTTTTGAGTCTCAGGGAAGGACATACAATATTTTATACCACAAACCACCTTTTAGGTGGGTGAAATGGGAGGTTAAAGATTGTATTGGAAACCATTTTTTTCACACAGACGAAGTCGCAGGCTACCATTAGTCTATATTATGCATAAGAACAAAAATCATCAACTTGCGTTTTAATTACTTAGCTGGAGACATTAAAACTGAGCACACGCTTGTTAATATACAATTAATTTTCATAACTGCATGACAAAGAAACATAATTCAAAACTAGTCAATTATTGGAAGCATTTGGACCAATTATCTTTGATTAGTTATTAAATACAAAATCTCACATATGCAGCACAAAAGAATGCACTTCTTAAGGCTTATTAATCTGCAGAAGAAGCAAATAAAAAACAAGGTTTAATTAAAGATTACAAAAGATTTCATTTCATTTTTGGTTTTGTGGTTAATAGAAATATGAAGAAGTGTAAAAAGCTTTCATTCAGCTATATGTCTTGCTTGCTATAAGATTCACAATAAATAACTCTTTTTTGTTTTGTACTGTACCCACATTTAATAGTACTTAAAGTTGAGCTATTTTTTTATAAACCGAATCTCCCTATTCCATCCATAGGGAAGGCCTGTGCCCCAGCAGTGGGGACATTAATAGGCTGATGATTGATTTGATTATTTTTTTATAACCATGTTTTAGCTATATCGAGCTATCGAGAGAGAGATTTAACTATCTCGAGCTCCTCCATGCTTCGGAAGGCACGTTAAGCCGTTGGTCCCGGCTGCATTTGCAGTCGTTAGCACCCACCAATCCGCACTGGGCCCGCGTGGTGGGTCATGGCCCAATCTCCCTATTCCATCCATAGGGAAGGCCTGTGCCCCAGCAGTGGGGACATTAATAGGCTGATGATGATGATGATGATGATGATGTTTTAGTCATTTACCTCCATAAGTTCAACAGCTATTTCCATAAACAATCTTTCAACATTTTCTGCTTCTTTTGCTGAAGTCTCAAGAAAATACATTCCATGTCTTTGGGCAAAATCTTCACCGATGTGCCGTGGTATTTCCCTGTCCTCCCTGTCAGTTTTGTTACCTAAAATGCAAATAAAACTGAGCAGTAATATGGATCCTTATTTTTACAAACTTTTATTTAAGTATTTGATTTGAAACATGTTTGTATTCATATTACTTATTACTCACTTAGTTTTATTTATGAAAATTACTTAATAAAATTTCTTTAGATGCTTGATACTAGTAAGTAAACTGTACTAAAAATCAAATTGGTAAAAAAGATATTTCCTTGTAAAACTAGTTTCACTTGTATGTGTATGTATGAGTTGTAAGTTGTTACTTACTAAGAATTAATTAGTCTTAAAAGTATTTGAGTGACACTTACCAACTAATATCCTAAGAACTTTATTATTTGCATATTCCTCAATCTCTCTTAACCAATCTGGTAGGCAATCAAAAGTAGGCTGGCAAGATATGTCATACACCAAAATAAGAGCATGAGCTGATCTGTAGTAACTTTGTGTGATTGATCTGAATCGTTCTTGACCAGCAGTATCCCATATTTGTAACTGAAACATTTAAATAATCTCTGTTTTCATCAATGAACTTCTACCAATATGCATGAACTAGAAGTCAGATTGAAATAACTCTGATCGTAATTTATAAGAAGCCTTAATTTATTTAACTACTTAATGGTTTCATCGACACCATTATATAGATATTAGATGCTTTTATTGTTTGAAAGGAATTATTTAGCAAAAATATATATATGTTGTTAGAAAAACCATATTTATGTGTATTAACTTACAGGAACTCTTAAAACAAAGGAGGCAATGATAAAATGTTGCCTCCTTTCTCTAAGCTTTCAATGGTTGTAAATTACATAATTGTTTATTAATCAGGCAGGCTTGGCAAAAGTAAAACAATTTTCGATGATTATTTGGCAAAATAATTACAGGAACTTACACAATTAAACAACAACATCCTTAATTACAAATTAGCCTATAATAAAAACAAATCTTAACAAAATTTTACATTCCCAATGATTTAAACATAATAATGACCAAATTACCTTTACTTTCTCGCCGTCAACTTCTACGGTTTTAATCATGAAATCCACACCTATTGTTGCACCTTGCCCAGGTGGGAAAAGGCCTTGAGTAAAACGCCTTACCAGACATGTCTTACCCACGCCCGCGTTCCCAACTAACACCACTTTAAATAGAAATTTGTAATCCTCCATTGCGGCCCAATTCACATTTGTATGGAACGTATATATTCCACTCGAAACAATAAAACTTTCAGCACTCAGTTATTAGTTATGAATTGACAATCGTTGCCAAAATTACTTTACGACACACATTAAACTACAGTACCTACTTATCTATCCCATTAATTAGCAATCACACGAATTTTACTATGATATAGATAACAGAAGCTAAATTGTCATGTCTAAAGAGAAAAGGTTTATACTTTTGATAAAATTCACCAAAACAAATTGAAAATTTTGAGTAGATAAGATTTTTACTTTTTACACTGACCACAGATTACAATTACAGAGATTTTTAGTGTCGATTCTGGCATGATTCTCTAAATCTAAACTTAAATTTGACAAAAGTGTATCCTTGTCATTCTCTATACAGAATGAAAAGGCGATAGTGGTGTCGATTCTAGCACGATTCTCTAAACCTAAACTTAAATTTGACAGCAGTATATCCTTGTCATTCTCTATACAGAATAAAAAGGAGAGACTGATGTCAAATTTAGTTTTAAGTTTAGAGAATCACGCCAGAATTGGCACCACTGATGTTAAATGTAGTTTTTAGTTTAGAGAATCATGCCAGAATCGACACCAGCGTATCGCTGTCTTGTCATTCTCTTTAAAGAATGAAAAATAGTGATGTTAAAACATGACATATACACTGACGTTGCATAAATCCACATAGAATCCACCGATTAAGCATTCATTTATTTATAAAGGACAAGTAACTTTTCATACATTACGAAAATTAACTTTGATTGCTTCAAACTTTAGTTTGTTGAAGTCAGAAAACAAAATAGTCTTTTAGACTGAGAGAATCACAATATAGGCTTTTCATCTCGCTCTTCCAGCATACCAGCACTCAGCTCAGTACCCTTAGTACGAGTTTTACAATTACAAAAACTATGATAGTTTTCATAAGCTCGCACTCGTACTAAGGGTACTGATTTTATTGTTTTAGTTTCAATACAAATAAACAGTGTTTAAATTCTTTCATTAAATCATTTGCGTCTTCTTAAATATTAAGTATATTTGGTTACTTTTCACCAAAATGGACATAGAAACATAATTTACAATTACGAAAACTATGATAGTTTTCGTGAGCTCAAACTTGTACTAAGGGTACAGCAGTCCCAGCCCATCACACAGAGTACTTTTTAATTAGGGAAAGTCCTTCCTTCCATTCGTCTAGCGATGGGTCGGATTAGGTATAATCCATACCTAACCAGCTAAATGCAGTATCACCGATCCCCCATAACGATACGATTTAGGTGTCGATTCTGGCACGATTCTCTAAATCTAAACTTAAATTTGACAACAGTGTATCCTTGTCATTCTCTATACAGAATGAAAAGGACAGACTGATGTTAAATTTAGTTTTAAGTTTAGAGAATCACGCTGGAATCGACACCATTGTGTGTATTCAATGTGGATTAGATATAAATTGTATTCGGATTGGATAATAATAATAATATATTATGAAAATAACGTGAACTCCTCCGTTGTTCTCCCTTCAAAACTCCTTGTTTCTTTCTATACTAGGTAAATACAATATAAATATAATGATTTAATGTTGTTTTTTTTTCTCTCTTGTATGTATGTATTGATCTTTGCGATCCTCTTACAATAATTTACTATATTTTTGTCTTTTTATTTATTTATTGAATTCTAGACCAAAATCCACAGCATTTTCTTAATATAATACAGGTTTTACAATATAGTTTATCTTAATGACAATTTTTTAGTTAATATTAATTTATATTGTAATTTATACAATTAATAGCATAATAGTTTAGAAAATCCTCTATCAAACAAGGGCGAGATGTGTGCAAGGCGCGCGCGCCATTATACATCTGTGTGTGTGTGTATCTTTGTGTGTATATATGCATGCATATATATTACCAATCAACCAACAGCCCTAAAAGATGTTTTTTAAATGATACTTTACTTTTGCAAGCAAATATGTCAACAGCCGTGAATTTTTTATTGTAAGTACTTTGCGATCGAAAAACAACTGAGTTTTGTGCAAAGGAAGTTTGAAATAGTACAAAAAAATCATATTAGGTAAATAATATTTCATATTATTCAATTATGTATTTTACCTTCGTATAACAGTTTGCATTCTAGCTTTATTAAAATAAATAAAATGCGAGTCAGTTAGTTTTTTCGACTTTGTGTTTGTAGTATTAAAAAATATAATATAACGCCTCCTAGCGTTGTACTAATTCATCGCGTTTTACATAAAATATAATCTAGATCTAAGTCTGTGAGTGACGGGTTACGGATCGACAGAACGGATCGGCTGTCAATCTGTGTGACGACACGTTTATTTTTTAGTATGCAATAGTATGTATCTGTATTCGAAGCCGATTAAGTATGACATAGAAACATTGCATTGGATTTGCATAATATTTAATCCACGTTTTAGAAATATGACGATAACATGGGTTACCCGTTTTTTACTATATAAATAAAATACCATTAATCTTGATTTGATCTCCATGTGCCTTTGCATCACTTTTATAACCGTCTTCAATGTCAATATGTTTAAGTGTATGTATATTTTTCAGCGATTATCTCGCGTTTGGCTAAGCCGATTTTAATGTGGTTATCTTAAAGGTATTGGTGACATTCTGAAGAAGGTTTTGGTGTACAACAAATGGATACCCTTGACGTTCGCATGGATACAGATTCGCTTGATATCGCTTAATAACGGTATTAAGCGATATATTAGTTCAACTCGACCGATTTTGTTGATGTCTCTTTCTCCTAGCGCTTTGTCCCGATCCTAGTGAAGATAAGCTTGACCATAATCCCTGATGTGGCAAGTCTGGGTGAATTACATTGGAGCGACTGCCATCTGACCTCCGTAACCCTAGAACAGATGTTTTTCATCTTCTTTGAGCAAGAGGTATTAATCCGTACATAGATTCCGAAAAATCCATAGGTACGTGCTGGGATTAGAACTCACGACCCATGGACGTGAAGCGAGAATTTAATCACGAAGCTACCACCGCTATAGATTCTGTTGATGTGGTGTTTTTTAACCCGATTTGGAAAAAATATTTTTTAATAAAGAAAATACTTTCCGTTTGGTCATTTAAATAATACGAAATAACATGCTTTTCAGTTGGAAAAAATAATTTCATTAATTTGACAAATGACAACATCACTCAAGTATAATTAATACAGGCATTACATTATGGTATACGAACGGAGTCTACAACAGTCATATTGAAAATTAAACCTGACCTGGCGCTGCAGCCAGGATCGTCTCTGTATGAAGGAATAATAAAATAAGATTCGTGTGCGGAGTGTTACTATTTATGTTAAAGCAGGAAAAGTTTTTATTGGCCTTATTATTAGAAATATTAAGTGTTTACTATAGTTTGAATTGCAACGCTGCACTGTTGGTTTTCAATTAAATCCTCGAACTACGCTACCTATCTAGCGTAGCTATCTACTTACTAATCACATCTTACCTAATGATCAAATAGTATCCTAGATGGCGTTTTCGTTTGGCATTTAAATATTTTATGTGACACTTATAACTCAAAATACAATTTGTATTTGACGCCTCGGATTAGGTATCGACTAGTGCACTATTCCAAATCCTAATACGATATATATGCCTCACCTCTACATTCGTCCAAGGTTCTCATTCCACAGAGTACATAAAGGGAATGTCATGTCATGTGTCATGTCATTCGTTCTGTAGCTGTAGTAAATTGAAGGTTTAGTTAGTTGTATGTACAAAAAAACTTTTGAAAATAGACCAAGAAGAAGAATTATCAAGGTGATAATTTTTAATCCAAGCATTAGTGAAAATGTCTACTATCAATTATACTACACGTACGGAAGGCCAAACCAAGATAAATACGATTATATGGACAGTACCAAATTTTAATAATTTATTAGAAAACAAAACCACTAGAGAATTTCGCACTGAAAAGTCGAAGGATTCCAGTGTCGAGTTAATAGAATCTAGATTTCAACTGAAAATGCAATTTCTGGGACGAGACAATGACATTATCGAGATATATTATTTATCTCCATCACCAGTGTTCCTGAAATCCATTCTCACCATATGTCTGAAACGTTTTGAGGAGCGGTCTATTGTTATTAAGGAATATCATACCGTTCAAGCTAATAAATGGCAATTTTTGGCCACATTATTCAAACGCGACATAGCCAGCTATGATGGCCGGGAAATATTCCTCCTTAGTGATGGAAGCTTACGTTTAAAGTTCCAGTTTATGGTGACAAACGATATTAAAGTAGACAGATCTAATGTACCTGAAGTTCAACTAAGTAATGATTTTGAAAATCTACTCAACAATGGTTTATTTTCTGATGTGGTCATGAAGTCTGCTGAAGGCATTGAGTATAAAGTTCATAAGGCAGTATTAGCAAGTAGAAGTGCAGTATTGAAAGCACACTTTGAACATAACACAACTGAATGTTTTACTAATATTGTGGAATCTCCATTGGAATCCGAGGTATTAAGGGAAGTGTTAACATTTATATACAGTGATAAAGCCCCAAGAGTTGATGAAATACCAGAAAAATTATTAGCGGCTGCTGATTACTATCAATTAAGCCGTTTAAAGAGTCTGTGTGAGGAAGCATTACATAAAAAATTAACAGTTGAAAATGCTATTGAAACACTTCAATTGGCAGACTTGCACTCTGCAAAAACATTAAAATTGTTGACTTTAGAATTTATTAAAGATGGTCAAGCAAAACTCATAATAAAAACTGAGGGATGGGCAAAGGTCAAATCAGTTGAACTCATCAAAAGAATTTATGAATATATCATGGCTGATGATGTAGAATCTGACCTAAAATAGATTAAATATAGTATAATTTTACAAAATATTAAAAATTTAAGATAATTATTGTTAACTTTCTGTATTCATATAAAAGGATGATTTTATTGTTTGTATATACTTGATAATTCTACTGTATATTAGTGTTTAGGGACATACATTGTCATTCTCTCAAAATATTACAAAATATATTATTTAAAATGTGAGGATCATAAATGTAGTATTAGTTAAATTAATTTGAAAATTCTTTTACTAATGCATAGTATATGACCTATTATACAATAGTTACAATTTTATTATTTACTTTATTGGTTATTTAAATTATAAACGATATAAAAATAGCTATAGTTTGAGAATGTCTTAGTCATGATAATTTTTTGCATTTTTGCTAAAATAATTTAGAAGTTTCTTTATTTATAAAAAGAAAACAGCTGCTTCAGAATGAATAAAACATTCCTTTTTTATAAAATTTCTTTATAATTGTCAACTATCACTGTCAGTATTAGTACTAGAATCACTTTGGTAGACAGTCATTTGATTTCTATTAGTGTTCACAAACATATCTTCTTCAGCTGGGCTTGCTTCTTTTTTGCTTTCATCAAATTCCTTGGGCCATACATTATTTTCTTTGTAATATTTGATAGAGTCCTTGTTCATTATCTTTACAATTTCTGCTTTCACTTTGTCACCTTCAAGAATTGGTTCAACTAAAATATAGTCACCTCTTTTCACCCATATATTCTTTCTAAACTTCATTGGCATTGATACAAGGTATTCATCGCCATTTGGAGTTGTAACCTGAGGAAGTAATAAGGAAAAATAAAAAATATAGCTACTCAATAAAAATAATATAAAGCTGGTTTAATGGTGCCTAGGTCAGGGAGACGTATTAAACTCCAAAAGTTTCTGTTGAATTATTTTTAAAATTCACATTATTGCAAAATAAGGGAAATGGCTAAACTGTACTTCCAGGGCCCGAGTGGTAATACTTCACACTAGATTAGGTTAGGTAAGTGTTGTGACCATAATATGCGAGCCGAGTGAGCAAAGCGAGGCGTGCCACGGCAGCGGCCGGCGAAACGCCAGAAAAATACATCGTTAACAGAGACCTTTTCTAAAAAAAATTTCAATCAATTTTGTGTTTTGCTTTGATATTATTTATTAGTGTCATACACTACATAAGTAACTACCTATATTAAATTTGTACCATGGTCTCACCTCATGAAGATTGTTTCCTTTACTTTTGAGAACCTTCACTAGACTCTGGTTTTCTTTTGGTAATTCGTAATCGTCCCAGAGAGCCTCATTCATAACATGTTTTCTTTTAGTTACTTTTGACATATTCGCGTTGGTTATTTTTTGTGAATCTGTAGGACTTTACTTGTAATAAATATACTTATGTAACTAATAACATAACTTTAAGAACGAAAGGTTATTAAAAATACAACCAAGGTATAAATTTACTTGAAAAAGGTATAATTCTAGGTTTTTTCAATGTGTCTCTCAAAACAAAAACACACATGACAGCACAGACCTTTTTTTTTAAGATTCTCCCTTTTCAAGGAAGGCAAAGGGAACCATAGCGCATACAGCCAAGTCTATAGTTTTATTAATCTTTGTTTTTTTTACATTACAATGTCCGTGTCTGGGGTACAGCCTCTAACTCAAATAGAAATACTTCAGAGGTTCCAGTCCAAGATGCTAAGAATAATTACTAATGCTCCAATAACAAAATGACCTTCAAATCAGAATAATTCAGGAAGAGATCAAACACCCAATAGACTGGACAATCATCCAAACATACTAGCTACGCACTTAATGAATACTGATTCAACTTTCAAAAGAATAAAAGGAAAGTCCCCTAGAGATTTATAGGGAACATGTTTTATGTAATAATGGGTTCATGTCACTGGACTGACTGCCCTTCAAGATAAAATTCTCTACTCTGACCTCTAACCAGATGCTGAATGTTCGCATGGAACATATTATTATATACACAATGACATTCATCTATGATTCTTCTTATACCTGAATGCAGTCTCATCCCGATCGGTTTAAAATTGACAAAGTTTCATACAAACTTTCATTCCCTATTTTATCCCCTTGGGGGTAGAATTGATCAAAATCCTTTCTTAGCGGATGCCTACGTCATAACATCTACCTGCATGCCAAACAGCCCGATCCGTCCAGTGGTATGGGCTGTGCGCTTAGTGGTTGTGCGTTGATAGATCACTGTGTCAGTCAGTCACCTTTGAGTTTTATATATATAGAAGATATCCACTATTTACGAATTTAAGAATAACACAGGCCCACAAAAAAGTACCCTGCGCGAAAGACCAGACTACCTGAACTTTATGTTTTCGGGGTCGCTGAGTCCAAATATGGTGCCAGAATAGCGAAGTCGGTTTACGTTTTTTCAGAAATCAGCAATAATGCTGAAAGTTTAAGTTTTTCGTATATTATGGTTTATGTTGTTCTTTTTTTTTTGTCCTCATGTCATCATTAATTATTTTTCACTTTTTATTATTACAATTTAATATAATTTCTTCAGTTGGTAAAGTCCGTTTTTTTGTTCGTTTTTCGTTCGGATTTCTACAGTTTTTTTAATACTCTTTATAATAACATAATTATGCACATGCTTTTTTCCCAGCACTTTATTCTTCATAGTCCAATCATAAAATAGTTGCTATGTTAATGTTCAAATTTTCATACAAAATTTTATATTGACATTTAGCACTCGCAAACTATTCGAATTCGATAATGGTTCGTGCTAGGGGTACTGTTATGTCTCGCTCGCTCGATTGAATGTTTATTTACAGAAGTGTGCCTGCGTGAGAGTTGCTTATGTCGTTGAATTGGAGCATATTTTATTCGATGCTAGTATGAGCGTACCGTATCTTCCCTTTTTGTTTTAATCTAAGTATAAACCCAATTTGTACCCCTCATCCCAGTTTTTTTTCCTAATGAAAATAACAACTTTTAACTATATTTGTATACTCGCCCAGTTATACTAGTCAAACGATACTAGCTCAGCGAAACTCGCTCAGCATCGGCACTCGCCGGCGTTGGTCCTCTGCACACAAAGAGATTCTAGCTTCATCAGAAAACAATACTTCTTTATCTCTGTCCGGAGTCCATAAAGCAGAGTTTCAAGCAAATTGAAGTCGAGCAACACGGTGCTCACAGAGTAATTTAGGACACCGGGCCGGGCTGTAACTCCTGATATTAGCAACCAAAAGCCTCTTGACCGACCACAAGCTAACTTTTTCTCCTCTTACATCTTCTGGTCCACACGATTCCGCAACGCCTGATTTACCAAAAAGCGGTCATCTCTTGATTCTTATATCGTTTTCTTCCCGAACAGGGTCTTCTTTTGACCGAACTGAGGGCCATTCGCCTAAAGGAAATGCTTTGGAAAACGCTAACGCTTACGATTTCATTTTGTTATTTGTAGCCGCCTGAGGTTTTTAAATGCCCCGCGCCCTTTGTTTTCTTTTGCATTGGTAATAACAATTTTGAAAAACTTCGATGGTCAGAAATAACAAAATAAAATCGAAAGCGTTAGCGTTTTCCAAAGCATTTCAGTTAGGCGAATCGCCCCCGGGTCTCTTGATACCACTGCCAAGTCACACATAAGTTTGCGAACAACCTTCTTCAAGGTGGGCTTTATCCCACCAGTGCAATGTCATCCGTGTAGCCTATCTTTTGATGTTGACTATTCAACCGTACGCCGCGCCGTCCAGTGTTAGAACTTTTCGTACATCATATTCAAGTGTTAGATTGAACAACATGGGCGACAATAAGGGAGCAAAGAAGAGAGGAGATGCTAAAAGCAGTACAGACCCTGGAAACTGAAATGTGGAAGGTTGGACTCAGAATTAATCTCAGAAAAACAGAGTACATTCACATGCACCGCTGTAAAATACCAGAGCGCCTAGAGAAAACCTGAAGGTAACAGACGTTAGCTATAAAGGAGTGGAAGAGTTTAAGTTGGAAAATATCTGGGCTGTAATATAACCGATACCAGTGGCGGGGCAAGACCTAAATTTGATGTGGGCAAGACAGATTTCGCGAGGTCCTATTCTGTGGCGACCTGAAGACGGATTTTATAAAATAACTAGCTGACCCAGCGAAATTCGTACCGCCATAAAAAAATAGGGGTTGGTGGTAGAAAGTTGAAAATTTAGGGATGTATGTATTTTTGTATGATGTATCATAAAAAAATTAAAAAGAAAATATCTAAAATTGAAAAAAAAAATTTAGGAGTGGATTACCCGTAACATTTAGGGGGATGAAAAATAGATGTTGTCCGATTCTCAGACCTACCCAATATGCACACAAAATTTCATGAGGAGGAGTTTAACCACAAACACCGCGAGACCGCGGTAGACGGTGGTAATACCAGGGAAGAAAAAATAGACTTCCGAGTCCAAAGTGCCTTTCGTTGTAGTGCAGCTTTACGAAAGGTAGGTAGGTACTTGATTCTAAGCTTCATAGCAGGCGAGCTAAGATACATATTTATAAAACGGTTACATGACCAAGACCAATGAATTTTGGTCAAGCAAGATAGTCGTAATTTAAACATTTGAGCTATTTCATCTGATTATATTATCTTACCCAGTCTCATAAAAGTGTTATTAAAATTAAAACAACTATTGATACAGTAACTAAACTTATTCAGCACAAAGAAGGATAATGTATGTTTAAATCTAGGTATCATTTTAAACATTGGAAGTAGTAGTTCCGAATCTATAACTTTTCTAAAATGTCAAACGCGATATCCCAAAACACTGTTTTTGAAAATAATAGCCTTTTCTTGTAACTTGCGATTTATTTAGTAGGTGTCACTTCCCTACCTCTTCGTTTAAACTTATTACTATTAGATAGCATATACTCTCCGTTTATATTTCTTCATCCAAACTTAAGCTTTAATTGCATTCATCAAGAATCTACACCAGAATCAACACAAGGTAAAATCAATGAGTACACACGAAATATAACAACAATTGATAATTTTATTTACACTTATTTAATACATCGAAAATGTTCAAAGATTCCCCGTTCGGTATTCCATAGCCTTTTTCCATTCCGTGCGGATTTGAGGGGGTATTGCAGCTCAAATTTGATTCCTTCCGCAAGACTTGGTCAACTTCCACTGATGTGAAGAATGCAACTGATAGTGGCAGATCGTTGATACCCACTCTATTTAAATAGAAATAAAGTATAAATTAGTTTAACAAAAAAGTTTACGATTTAAGGAATACGATTTAACACAAGAATCTATGGATGAATGTATATAAAACTAGTTTTTACGGGTTAGATGTACTGAATTAATTTATTTATTGACGTTTCGCATTCTTTTTAGGGAATTCCGACGACGCATTCCAGAAAAGGATGCGAAACGTAAATAAATTCAGTACATCTAACCAAGGGCGTAGCCAGGATTTAGTTTAGGGGGGGGGGGGGGGCAGGCAAGTGAAACTAATATGTTTGCTACAAATTTTCTTGTACGATCTTTCGCTGGACACTTAACATACACAGGCCATTTATGTGTCCTTTGTATGTTAAGAGATCAAGATCGAGCATCGTCGACCTCAACCACGTTTTGACTACACCGCAGTGTAGAGAAGTACCTCGTGGTGCAAGACAGTGAGAAAAGAAATTAGTATAGGTTTTCTGGTTGGAGGAAAGAATGTTTCCGCCTTCTCTAACAACTCCGTAAAGTTCAGCTCCCTTAGGTGTTCTCTTGGCATATCTTATCACAGTTCGGCGTTATTATCAAAGGATTCTAACCCATAGTAACTTTGTGTTTTCTGTTTGAATTCAGCCAATGAAATTTTCAATATCGCATCAGGATGCAACATCATCAATTCGAAGGCAGGCATATGCCTACTGGAACATCGTTTCTTTGATTAACATATGTTTATCAAAGTAACGATGTTCCAGTGCGGATATAAGGGAATCCAAATACGGGATGAAGATCGATCGCTTCCAAAAATCGCATGGAGTCTCAGCAGGATAACTGGACTGATGTCGTTGGCGAAATGCAATGCGCGGGATATGTAAATTGGTTCCAATGACAGCTGCAGTTTCCGTAGAAGTGTCGAAGACATATTGGAATTCCTGGTCCGCGTTACTGAGATGCTTCTTTCATATATACATATCTATTGTCTTTGATTATAGGGCATTGGCAACAAGTTCCAATATTCCTGAGTATTTTCCTATCAAACCAGCAGATACTCGTATAATAAATTGTTACTTGGTAGCAGCACAATATAAGTGGTAAGCGTTTTTTCTCGCTGCAGCATTACCTTCTCTAGAAATTGCCAAAAGCCCATTGAGCATGCCCTCAAAATGATCGTGAAAAATAGCAATACTTATGTTTTTTTGTGACCAGCTTGTCTCACAAAGAGCTGGAATATTTGGCACATACTTTCTCCGTAGAGAAGATTCTCGACAAAGTTGATGACATCTTTTATTGCGCTAATCGTGTCTCTTATTTCTGGAACATTATTAAAATCATTAACCGCCTAGTTTATTTTGTAATTGCACAAAGAAAATACAATGCTTATTTGCCCAAAAAGGATTAACCACAAATAAAAAACAAATTAACTTAATAAAGGAAGGCTCAACTGTTAACTCGAAAAGCAAGCCTTTTTCAATCCTAGATACTGAACCTGACTAGACTATTTTAAAAGATACGTATGAAAATCACTACAATGTACCAGATGATATTGGAGTTTCGTCATCCAGGCCGGACGTATTCCCCTTTTTTAGGCACATCCAACATAGTATACAAGTAAAGTACTAATAGACTGTATCATACTAACATTCCAAAATACCTCACAATATTGAATAAATATTTCGATCTTACCAACGAACTAACCAAAAATGGCTATTTAGTTAATTTACATGCGGTAGAAGTAGGAGCGAGAGGTATACCAGCAAAATCTTTCTATAACCTTCTAAAAGACCTCGGCCTATCGAGAACTGCAGTAAGTTTAACTTTGGAACGAGTAACTAAGGCTGCACTAACAGACTCCTATCAAGTTTGGCTAGGAAGGGCGGGCAACTCAAGCAGTGAAGGTGAGCGTTGATGCGTATCTCAAAGGGGGCCTCCTTAAACCTACACCCGGATGGCAAGGCCCGGTAACTGCTCAGAGTTTCTCTCTGCCACACGATGGACTCGGCACCCGCACGGTGAAACCATCATGGATTGTTAAGAATTTCGTCTCATATACAATTAATGAGAATAGATGTCATTTTATGATTTTTTGTAGGACAACTAATGAAACTTCATTAAAGTTTATGACGGATTTATAAGAAATAATGAGAATGAATTTTATTTTATTGGGAAATCTGACAAATTATAAAACAAAATGATAAATATGAAACGATTTAACTAGAACAATCCAAGCCATTTTAATGATTTCACCAATCGCATATAAAATCATTAGGTAGCTAGCTTGTGCTAGCTAGTAAAAAACTAAATGATGCTTCTATACCTGTGTTCTAAACGGGCCATAGTTGCCCGGCAAAATTATATTTTTAAGAATACCATAATACTTGTTAGTTGTACACACAGTAACATTATACAGACTGCACACTTTAAAAAGTCCTTATATCCATCATTTTACGTCCAAGAAATGCTTAACGTAGGTACGTACGAAATCACTTCACTGTGTACGAGTAGTCCTATCAAAATTAGAGCTTTAGTAACGAGACTAATGAGAGTGGTGTGCGATTCTTTATTTTTAAAAATTTTATATTTAGTTTTTGGATTATTTATTCCCCCCCCCCCCCTGCCGGTACCTGGCTACGCCCATGCATCTAACCCGTAAAAACTAGTTTTATTTAATGAGTGATGTGCGTGAAAACCTAAGAAACAACTATGAATGAATGCTTTTGTTGTTTAGTCTAGAAGGAAATGGCTGAAATATTTGATGCAATAAAGTATAGTGAGTTTCAAACTTAATGGTGGTTGTGAAGTTAACAGCATTCGCAACTATATTTGCAGGTTTCACTTCAGTGTTATATTTCGTTTGCTGCGCCGCGGCTTGTGCTAACTTCACAGCCACCGTAATCTCGTAAGTAGATTTCCATCCATATTACTTTACTGATAATATGCATTTGGCAGAAAAGCTGCGAAAGTGGCTAGTCTAGTTCGATATTTTAGCTTGTTGTATATTTTTTATTAATTGTACCTACTTTCTGATTAAAAAAATCAATTCAAATTAAGGCGTAAGAAAAACTCTAAACACACCTCTGCGAACAAAATGCTCTCGTTAGGAGATTGGTGATCTGCAATGCCAACGCCGCCTCGTACTTCTGTTCATCGGGTACCAAATACCTCACCTCGTCGTGAAAACTCAGGCAAAATCTGTTATATAATAAAATATATGTCTTAGTGGAATTGAAAAAATATATAAAATAGTCAAGGAATTACAAATAATATGGAATACGAATTGCGCTAGAAAGTGATTCCACGCAAACTGCGATTATGTGGGCGGGGCGAAAACACTGCGAGCAACAGTTAACACGCCGATCATGCGATTGGTTGGAATTTCCTTTTAACATGATCTTACCCAATGAATGGCTGTCAGAATCATCTTTATTGGCCGATATTTGATATGTCGAAAAATTTTGTTTTATCTGTTTGCGTGTTGCGTTGTTAGTATCGAAGTTTAGCTGTATGAGTTTGGTACCTTGTTTGCGGCCTTTGTAGAGAGTATAGAAAGGCAAAAGCCTTCCCTATAGATGGACTAGGGAGATTGGGCCATGACCAACAACGCGGGCCCAGTGCGGATTGGGTTATTAGCGATGGGGATGTTAGCGACCGCATATGTAGGGGGGACCAACGGCTTTCCAAAACAGAGATAATAAATTTAGGTCACCCACCCAATGACCGGCCATTGCGAAAGTTGCTTAACTTCCACGAGTGATTCCGGAAATGGGACGGGAGTGTGCAACAGGAAATCGGGGAAGCGCGAGGTATTTGATTTGATTTTAGAATATAATGTTAAAATTGCTTATTTCCTTGGTTTCTTTTGAAGCTTTTTTATTTCTTTTTAACTAAGGTGACTTATCAAATGTTACACATCATATGCAACTACTGTAAAGCTCGCTAGTTTGTTTCATGTATTTTGTATGCTGTTAAAAATTTCAAATCATTATTTTTTTCTTTCTCAGTGACCCTAAATTGAACTTATAACTTAGGCTGTACGGTTTCCTGATCAAGAATTCAGATTTGGAATCCGTGGGCTTAGCGCATACGTAATTTTTTTTTATGATGTATAGTGCTAACCTCGCTCGTGTCACATGCCTCATGTTGGCTTAGGCTAGATGTATATTGGTTATTGTCTGCAGAGGGACCGATTTCTGGAGAACCCGTGTAAAACGAGCCTGGCACTCCCAGGCCAGACCCGTAGGTATAGTGAGTGTATTTTTTTCAGTGTGTATACTGACTAGAGGTGGCGTTAATGGTTTAAGATTTTTATTAGTTGAAGTTAATGGTTTAAAAAAAATATCAGATAATTTTAATGGTTGAAAATATCAGTTAATATTTTTATTCAAATACAATCTTTATCTAAAGTTGATATATTGTCAATATATGTATTTATTAGTTCGATGTATGATTGAAATTATGTATTCATTACGATAATTTTATGAATTGAATGAGAATATTTATCGAATATATTTGTTAACTTTTTTAAGTACTTTAATTTGGGGCTGTCAGCGCAAAAGTGGCCTAACCCTCAATTAATCAAATTCTGATTTAGCGGCCACTTATGAAGTTTACGTTGAGAGAAAAAAAACAATGCAAAAAGAACTTTTGCAACGCCATCTATTGACGCCTGGCGAAACAAGAGATAAGCCGATTTTGAATAAAATTTTAACACATTTCATTTATGTTTTTATTTTTTTTAAGCATTTAACTGCTAGATAGTCCCGTCCACTGCCTGGTCCGCGTGGTTTTTTTTCTAGTAAAACTTTTCTTGACATTATTATTTAATTGTAGAAGATGAATCAGAACATGAGGGTTAGGCCACTTTTGCGCTGACAGCCTCATTTAACTGTTGATAAATATTGCACAACACTGACCTGGCCCCGGGCGCCAGATGCCTCATGCTGGTTAGCATCAGGTGCAGGAAGTCAGCGGCGGCGCTCTGTACGGCCCAGTTGAGGCGGGTGCCGCCCCACCTGCCCTGAGAGTGCTCTAAGGCGCGGGATAAACGCCCGTTTAGGAACGCAGTGCGGGGACCATCGGATTCTTGACAAACAATAGAAAAAAAACTATAGATTTGAACATCTAGCCAACGATATTAAATACCCTAGATACACCACGAGCGCTCAAAATGTGTCCCAATCAAGAAGTGCTTAAACTCCACTCAAGCACTTCCTGGTTCACAGTCACGCGCGGACCGTTGAAAAGTTAAAATGCCGCAGAGCTCCGTGAAAACATTAAATTTATATTGATAAAATCTAGCAGTTAAATGCTAAAAAAATAAAAATATATTAAACTAAAATTTTGACGACCTCCTTGGCCTAGTGGTTTGTACCCCAGTCATGGATGTTTAATATGTACTTCTTTATGAATATACTTATATATGTAGAGTATATGTATTCTATCTGCTACCCTAGTATCCCATAACACGGCTTGTGTTATGTTGGTGCTTACTTTGAGAGTAGTCTAATAAGTGTTGAAAAAAATGGTTACTTATTCTTTTAAATGTTTAATACTTGTAAAGGTATTTCATTTGACATTTTGAGTTACCTACAAGCAGTCTAAGAAATACAAGAAGAAATTCGGCAAGGCCATTAAAGTCACGGTGGCATAATTGGTCAGTGCATCTACCCCGATAGCGGAGGGTGTGGGTTCGAGTCCCGTCTACTTCCTAGATCGCGTGGAATTTTTTCTAGTAAAATTTTCCAATAAATATATATTACTAACATTCCGAACGAAACAGTACGTTTTTATTTCTATCATCCGCAGCGATAAGCATAGCACCAAAGTAAGCACAATAAGGCTTGTGTTATAATAAAGTACTAGTTACTGTTACAAAATGTAATACATTTAACCATACATAGATAAGTATTCATACATATATATATATACTTCCTCTAAGACAAAAGGTAAAAAACCATAAAAAGGATTTCAATAGGTCGAATTTTACACGGATATAAAATCTAAAGTCGCGTTGACATGCTCAAAGTCTGTTTTGACAAAGTAGCTTTGTTTAATAACTACTTTGAAGCTACTTTGATCGCGTTAAAAAAATAATCACAGCGTACTTTGATGTTGGCGTCCAATCAAAGTCGAAGTTGGACCGTAATCAACTTTAGTCAAAGTTGAATTTCAGCATGTCATCTCGGCTTTACGTCCGAATCCGATACGCACTGCTTAGGCTGGACGCACATATCAGGTTCTTGATCCGATTCTCCAATTCGGTTCCCCGATCAGATTAACCTCGCACACGGACGGTTGAATGTACACGGTTTTTACGTCCCGAATAAAGATGCAATTGAATGATGAATAGAAACGTCAATGGTTTTTTACTTAACTTAAAAAAGGAGTAGTTGTGTTTGTATTAAATAAAGTGTCTTAAATTTTAGTCAATTTAACGGTATTTATTAAAATAATATGCAATGCAAAATTACAGGGTGCATACGCAGCGAAACGTGGAAAATGGGATTTTTTGCTCTAATTGGAGTGCCCGTCTGAAACTTCCACCTTACAGAAGACCACAGTAAAATAACACTATCTTTTGGTGGTATTGTGTTTTTCTATTGGTGAGTAAGTTTTCAGGAAGGCTCCACGAGGTAGGAGACTGAGTTCAGGCTAGCAAGTGCGGATGGATTGAGCGACACACTTTTCTAATGTGCTGCGCTTCACCTTAAAAAAGTACCCTATACATTTTGAGTCCCTTCAGTGTCCACTGACAACGGGGCCGAGGTATTTTTTTTGGAAAATCTAGAATCACTATAATGCTCAAAATTAAAATTTATTAACAAACAAATGACTCAATCGCAAGTGGAAAGTGTTAAAACTACTTTGAATGAATATATAGCACTAAGAAATAATTTTTCAGAAATAAAAAAACACAGGAATTTGTACACAAAAGGCAGCCTTATTGCTAAGGTAGCAATCTCTGCGAGGCAATCTTTGGCTTAACGAAACTATACCAAAGAGGATAAGAACAGCGAGCTACTTATAAACTTTATTTTATTTTATCATTATGATATCATCATCAGCCTTTTAAATGTCCCCACGACTGAGGCACAGGCCTTCCCTATGGATAGAATAGGGAGATTGGGCCATGACTCACCACACGGGCCCAGTGCGGATTGGCGGGTGCTAACGACTGCAGATGCAGCCGGGACCAACGGCTTAACATACCTTCCGAAGCACGGAGGAGCTCGAGATAATAAAATTTTGGTCACCCATCCAATGACCGAATACTGCGAAAGTTGCTGAACTTCAAGGACGCGCTTACCACCTGCGCCATCGAGCTCCTCGATATGATAACTTACCAGCTATTTCCTCCAATTTGTTGAACATATCGGATTCGGTGCCTCCCACCCACTTCGGTCGCTCGAACATTTCATCGATGGTTTTACCGCTCATCTTGGCGAGCCGTTTGGCTTGATACCCAGCCATTTCAACCACCTGTGCAAATAATAATTAAAAAAAAAACAACATTCATACCAATTAGCCTAGCCCCAAAGTAAGCACTATAAGGCTTGTGTTAAGGGATACTAGGGTAACGGATAGAATACATATACTGTATATAAAATAATATACTTATATGTGATAAGTATATAAATATATATATATATATAGAAATACATATTAGACATCCATGACGACGCAGTACAAATGCTCGTATTCATCACACAAACATCTGCCCCCACCGGGATTCGAACCAGGGACCTCTCGAGTCGGCGACACCATGAAAGCCAGAGGATAAACCACTCCGCCACGGAGGTCGTCAAAATTTAAAAGCAATGAGAATTTTAACTAAAATATTTGCTGGCCTACCTTGTAGGCCCTTAGTACGTTATACAACTAATATTATAAATACAAAAGTTTGCATCGATGTTTGTTACTCTTTTATGCTAGCACTTCACGTGGCTATTCGTATTTGCTAGGCAGGTTGTCCTTCATACTCTACGGCAAATGAAGTAGAAGTGGAATGTCATGTCAAGTCCCGGTATCACGAAAAACCGGCTGGGCGAATTCGGATGAAATATAGCATATACATATAGTTTAATAGCGGTGGGCCTGTGATTTAGTTCGCGTAAACTTTCGTTTATTGTTAATCCCTCAGGATCCTAAAAATTTTTCGGGATAAAAAGTATCCTGTGTCTCAATCCAGGTCCAATAAACTATTTGTACTTACCAAATTTCATCAAAAACCGTTCAACCGTTTTTGCGTGATTGAATAAAAAATATACAAAGTTACACATTTATAATATACTAGCGGCCCGCCCTCGCTTCGCTTCGGTGTAGAGCTGAAGCGTAGACTACAGTTTTTGTTCTCAGGCTTGTTTTATACACAATGACATTCATCTATGATTATTATTATACCTGCATGCAAAGTCTCAGCCCGTTCGGTTTTAAAATTGACAAAGTTCAATACAAACTTTCATTCCCTATTTTATCCCCTTGGGGGTAGAATTGATCAAAATCCTTTCTTAGCGGATGCCTACGTCATAACATCTACCTGCATGCCAAATTTCAGCCCGATCCGTCCAGTGGTTTGGGCTGGGCGTTGATAGATTACTACGTCAGTCAGTCACCTTTGAGTTTTATATATATAGATTATAAATAAACTGAAGATGGTATATTTATCTTTTCCAAACTTCTATTGACATCACGTCGCTCAATTTGCCTTCCCAGAATCTCTCCACTAACATTTGAAATTTATGGTATGGTATTAAAGTTCAAATTGACTTTTAAGTATTATTACGAATCGTTTGTATGGGAGTAAAGAAAAGTTTTGTTTTTTGACATTTCCAGGCATTTTTTTTAATTTTTCTCTTCGTAAGAACCATCCTCGTACTTCAAGGAATATTCTAAAAAAAAATCAGCCAAATCGGTCAAGCCGTTTTCATGTTATGTCGTGACAACGGAAAACGGGTTTCATTTTTATATATATAGATTTAGGATTGTCTAATTTGACACATGGAGTACTATTGCTACTTCATATCTTGGAACATGTTAGGTTCCTGTAGGGTTTTACAAAAATTAACTATAACGGGGACAAAAACGCGGTCAGAAGCTTAATAGTTCATAATAGCTTAATAGTTAGAAGTACTTCATAATTCAAATTTTTCTTTATTGTAAAAATATTTGATGTGATATTACTGTATTTGCAATGTGCAGAGGTGGCCCTGTTTTGTAGCCTAAGCTAAAGCAGGAGACATTTCAAATATCCTTCAATAGTCTTCGTAGCATCACGGTCAGTGCATTCGTCCGGATGGTTTGATTTAAGCTAGTGCTCGACTCGAAGGACCCATGTTTGAGCTTGTGCTTGGCTCGAAGGACCAATGTTTCAGGAGTGTGGGCAAGTGCCCAGGGCCCCGCGATCGATAGGGGGCCCCCTCAGATCAAATACAAAGTCCCTAGTTACTGTTATATCACCAAACGGAATTCATTGGGATCCCATTATCCTAATACGCCCAGGGCCTCAAATAGGTCAAAGACGGCACTGAGTGTGAAGATGCTTGATGTTTGAGTTTGCCAGTTACAAGGAGAACCCGCTATTTGTAATTAATTTTGTTTTTATTAAGAACACAATTATGACCTGCGCAGTCAAGGGTGTGTGAACATTATTTTGTCGCCCGAAAATTTAGAAAATCTCATGGCACGGAAGTTAATTTTGTCAGATTACGTTGTGTTGTAATTACAACATGAGTTTTAAGAAAAGGAGAACATATTTTAAAAGAGAATAGTGGGTCCATCATTTTAAATCGGATCGAGTGCACAACGCGCACATAAATTCGCCGTATGCGCTATTGCGCCTTGTCACATGAGTTCTTTTTTTTTGGGGGGGGAATTACGCATATTTTTGTCCTGTCCGGTCCGAGATATTTAATACCTCGTGTGAGTTACTGGATGCAGTTGTAAGCGATCTATTTTGGCGAACAAAAAATACCGCAGGCAAAAGTCCCTTGTCTGCGCAGGCTATTATTGGCTTACGGTTTCATCGACTGCGCCGTCAGCGAGAAAGAGAGAAAGCAGAAAGGTGTTCCCAGTAATTTTTCACTAGATTTTAATAAATTATTACCTGATCCTCGTCATCTCCATCTATGAAACCCTCCATTAACTCTTTTTTTAGGGTGTAAACCCTCCTGCCTTTGGTCGTGGTAAACATTTTGGCCGCTTTACTCTTGGCTTCCGACATCGACATAGTGGGATTGAACTGCTTCAGAAGTCTTTCGGCAAAGTTTTGACCGGCGCCTGTGTCATACATAACTTATTTGAACTTATTAAATACGTAACTACAAATCTTACCTTGGAGGAGCGAACTTTGAAAATTGTTTCTTGTTAGCTTTAAGTCAACGTTTGTAATATCTACATTTATTTATTTCTTGGTAAAAGATTCATCAGTTTGTATGAATATATGCAAACACACAAGGAGAGAGAGAAAGAGAAGGGGGAAAAAAGCTAGCCAAGTGCGAGTCGGACTCGCGCACCGAGGGTTCCCTACAAACTCAATTTAATACCTATACGCGTTCATGAGAAAAGAGGTGGTAACTTTAAAATTTTCAGTAATATTTTTTATTATATGATTTAATAAAAAATTTACGGTTTGCGCAATTTTTCCTTTATCTGTACTATAAGACGTTACATCGCACCAAATTTCAAGATTCTAAGTTCCCTGTAGATTTTGATTCCCGTGCGAGTTTCGAAAATTTGCGGCAAAAAAGACATTTTGATTAATGTGGCTTAGAAGTTAGATTTTTTCACAGCTCCAAGGGACAATAGACATGATTATTAGATATGAATTTCAGTTTGATACCTCCACGCGTTCCTGAGAAAAACGGTCTTGACAGGCGGACGGACGGACAACAAGATGATCTTATAAGGGTTCCGTTTTTTTCCTCCGAAATTTTGCCCTTATGTAAGGTTTTTAAGTTTACTTACCAGATAATTAGATTTCTTGCAAAAGCACAACACAAAAAAATAAAGAGAAACTAATTGAGCGATATAATCGTATAACTCGTCATCCCTGAACTGTCACTCACATTCGTAGGGATCCTTGTCGTACTGTATGTGTATCTCTTACTCTTATCAGGCCCTGCCAAAACGTCAGCGGTGATGCAATCATCGTCGCCGCACCAGCTTAGGCTGAGACAGGGTCTTGGTTAACCTTTATTATCATTGCTATTTTATGTTCTTTCTTTTTACGATATTGAACAATGGTTAATAAAAAAAATCTTTATCTTTCTTTTACTAATTCAGTGATGCCTTTAAGTTCATATTTAGAAAGAGATATCTTATGCCACGTTGTCATTTTTGTTCTACAACTCAGGATCCTGTAGAACAGGCGTGGAGAAGCAACTTACCTGCTTGGTGTTCACGGTAAAACGGCTGTAGTTGTACCAGCTATCTTATCGTCTGGATTCCACCATAACTTAACATCATGTGGAGCGAAGACTTATAAAAACAAAACATTAGTTGATAGGGATTATCCATAAGAATTTCTGGAAAAAACCTGATATGTTTAACTCCCGTAGTCGATGACTTTAGCGTGGTCCCTCGATATGGAGACTGCGCTAGCGGTGAGCGAGTGTAGGTCGGTGCGGTTAGACTTGTCTCCTCTCATAGGGATTTCTAGAATGATTTACTGTATATCCTCACGTATTTGATGAGTTTAGCATGGTCCCTCGATATGGAGTAGGGAAAAAATATGGACGATTCAAAGAGTTGTATTTTGCATCCAATTCAAATAAAGATATTTTGATTTTTTAACTTTTTGGAGACTGTGCTAACGGTGAGCGAGTGGAGGCCTATATCTAATTTGGTTCATGGGGATCATCTATAGGGATTTCTGGAAAAGACCCTAACAGTTTTACCGTATATCCTCGCAAAGTTGATGACTTTAGCGTGGTCCCTCGATATGGAGGCTGCGCTGGCGGTAAAGGAATATAGGTTTATATAATTTGGTTGATGGGGATCATCTATAGGGATTTCTGGAAAAGACCCTAACAATTTTACCGTATATCCTCGCGAAGTTGATGACTTTAGCGTGGTCCCACGATATGGAGGCTGCGCTGGCGGTAAAGGAATATAGGTTTATATAATTTGGTTGATGGGGATCATCTATAGGGATTTTTGGAAAAGACCCTAACAGTTTTACCGTATATCCTCGCGAAGTTGATGACTTTAGCGTGGTCCCTCGATATGGAGGCTGCGCTGGCGGTGAAGGAGTATAGGTCTATATAATTTGGTTGATGGGGATCATCTATAGGGATTTCTGGAATAGACCCTAACAGTTTTACCGTATATCCTCGCGTAGTTGATGACTTTAGCGTGGTCCCTCGATATGGAGGCTGCGCTGGCAGTGAGAGAGTGTAGATCAGTACGATTTGACTTGTCACCGGCCAACACGGCCCAACCGAATGCTGTGCCTCCACACAAACCTATACTGCTATCGCCTAGCAACGCCGCTATCCAGAGTTCCTAAAGAGGATAAAGAAGGTATTTCATCATCATCATCAGCCCATTAATGTCCCCACTGGTGTGGCACTGGCCTTCCCTATGGATGGAATAGGAAGATTGGGCCATGATCCACCACGCGAGCCCAGTGCGGATTGGCGGGTGCTAACGACTGCAGATACAGCAGGGACCAACGGCTTAACGTGCCTTTCGAAGCACGGAGGAACTCGAGGTAGAAGATTTTTGGTCACCCATCCAATGACCGACCACTGCAAAAGCTGCTTAACTTCAACGATCGCAGCCGAACGCGCTAACCACCTGTGCCATCGAGCTCCTCAAGAAGGCATTTATTTTTTATCAACTATTTAGTAAAATGCTTTTTAAATCATACAAAATAATTTCCATCCATTTGAAAGTCAATTCTTTTTTAAATGACCTGTGTTAAAGTACCCACGATTTTTTTTTCACAGGTAGCTTGGATTGCCGTGTAAATTTCGGTCAACGAGAAGCAATACAAAATGTAAACAAAGTCGATGAACGGCCAGTAGCCAATGCAAGAACTGGAAAATTTTGTGAAAATATATTTATTAAATTTAACATAGGATTTTTATAATGTTTACTAGTTGAGCCAGCGAACTTCGTATCGCCATAAAAATATGGGTGGTGGAAGAGTGAAAATTTAGGGTTCTATATATTTTTGTATGATGTATCATAAAAAAAAACAAAACAAATTAATGGTGGACCACCCTTAACATTTAGGGGGATGAAAAACTGATACTGTCCGATTCACAGACTGATTTTTAATTCTGAGTAAATTTACTGATTTTTTTTTAAATATCACGAAATTCGGTCGAGCCGTTTCGGATGAGTTCAATTACGCACAACGTGACACGAGAATTTTATATATATTCTTGTGTCACGTTGTGCGTAATTGATCTCCTCCGAATTTCATATAACTAAAGTTAACACTGACATTAGTTGGAAGTTAAAAAATAGGTAATAAATAAAAAAATATATCAACTGACCTGTGAATCAACATCGGCTCCTACAAATTTAAATCCGGGTGGTGCTTGCACCATAGCGCGCAGTTCTGAGCCAATTCTTTCCTTGTGAGCATTACTTGCGGTCATCCAAGTGGGTTCACTGGCCCTACGAGACGGAATAAAATAATAATAAATTAATTATGTACCGCACAACATATAAACAGAAAGACTGTTTGTCTTTCTGTCTTTTAGTATTTTTCTCGAACAAACTGTGAAGAAGAACAACAAACGCACTGTTTTTTGTATCTGTACGACGTTAACTGATCGATCCTTATAATCGATCACATGATTGCAAAACAGTGTTAGCAATCAAAATTTATCACGCTGTCATGAAGCAGCTGCTTGTATTAAGGACCTGCGTTGCGTTGAGCGGGAGCACTCGGGTGCTCCCGCTCAACACAACGAAGGATGGAAGTTTGTATGGGAAACCGATTGAATTACGCAGACGACGTCGCGGGAATTCGCTAGTTTATTATAAAGATAGAAAAGAGAGAGAGAGATAATCTTTAGCCTATGTCACTTAGGAATAGTACAGCTTTCTACTGGTGGAAGCATTTTCAAAGCATAAATCGCTGTAATACGAGGAAGTTCTCAATTCGTTACTATATTTTTATATTTCAAAATTAAAAAAAAACGACTGCCGTTAAAAGGATGCTACTATAATAATTGTATATATATTTGATACGGTCTCATTAAGACCTTTCAAATGATACTTATATTGTAAATGTCATAGTCTAAAGACTTTTTTAATTGACATAAAAATAATTGAGATAGTGACTATGCTGTTATTTAAATTTTAACAGTTTTGGTATCACATGTTATCCGCGATGGTCTAAATCGGTTCAGGCGTTTAGAAGTTACGGTGGAATAAAGAATTGTACATACATACATACATGAAGTTCGCCCGCGATCGTTGAAGTTAAGCAACTTTCGCAGTGGTCGGTCATTTGATGGGTGACCAAAAATTTAAAATTTTACTATCATCATTAATCATTTTGGTCCTACGAGCCACCTGAATTATTTACATAGTATTTGTGGAATTATCGTTTACTAAGAGCCTTGTTAAACTGTTATTGTAAATCATTTCCTTCCGAGCCACCTGAATTAAAATTAACTATTAATAATTTGAATTATTATTCCTTGAATACTCGTTTGATAAATGTCATGTTGAACTATCACAGATATTCATTTTGGTCCTTCGAGCCACCTGAATTTAAATTAAGTATTCTTAAATTTACTTATTATTCGTTGAATACTCATTTGATAAATAGCTTGTAGAACTATCATAGGTATTCATTTTGGTCCTTCGAGCCACCTAAATTTAAATTAACTATTCATAAATTGACTTATTATTCGTTGAATACTCGTGCGATAAACAGCTTGTTGAACTATCATATATATACATTTTGGTCCTTCGAGCCACCTGAATTAAAATTAACTATCAATAAATTGATACTTATTTATTCTTAGAAAACTCTAAAATATGAAAAATATCTTATGTATTTAGTAAAGTATGTGGTGTAATTTTAATCAACTTGAAAAGGAGGAGATTCTCAATTAGTATAAGTATTTTTTTACCCTCGATGGGGCTCGATGGCGCAAGTGGTTAGCGCGTTGGGCTGCGATCGTTGCAGTTAAGCAACTTTCGCAGGTGCCGGTCATTGGATGAGTGACCAAAAGTTTACGATCTCGAGCTCTTCCGTGCTTCAGAAGGCACGTTAAGCCGTTGATCCCGGCTGCATCTGCAGTCATTAGCACCCACCAAGCCGCACTGGGTCCGCGTGGTGGGTCATGGCCCAATCTCCCTATTCCATCCATAAGGAAGGCCTGTGCCTCAATAGTGGGGACATTAATAGGCTGGTGATGATGATGATGATGACATACATGAACCATGAATACATTACCCCCTTTTTTTCTTGGGCAGTCGTGTAAAAAACCAATATCTAGCAGTTTGATGTTTAAAGTAAACTAAATACATTACATTTACTCACCTTCTTGTTAGAGTACCGCACACAACAACTTGGGGCACGATGGCTCCATACTGTCGCATCCTGTTTCTCAGATGAACCGGTAACAATTGTTCCGGTAACCACACCACCTGTTGACTCATGATGCGCTCCCTGTTGTTCCGCCAGTAAGTCATCATGCGTCCGAATGTGAGAACCTTGTGGTTGATATTGAGAAAATCCATCAACATAAAACTTTATTTCTCTTATCAATCGATTGTGAACCTTATATAAGTCAGATAAAGATTTACGACGATTGAGGCTTTTTTGGCATCTAATAAAAATCGTTTTGATCTGAGGCTTTGTATGCAAAAAGCTAGTTTGTCCTTAAGACCGATAGGCGTTGCTTAGTTTTCATAGAAACTTTGACGATGCGATAAAATTACGGAGCTGTCATAATTCGTGCTTGAGCCTTGGACACGATGGCTCCGTACTATCTGTTTCTGAGGTGCTCTGGTAGTTACTGGTGTCGATTCTAATAGGCTTCTCTAAACCTAATCTTAAATTTGACAACAGTGCATCCTTGACATTCCCTATACAGAGTGAAAAGGAGAGACTGATGTTAAATTTAGTTTTAAGTTTAGAGAATTATGCCAGAATCGACACCACTGTTCCGGTAACCACACCACCTGTTGACTCATGATGCGCTCCCTGTTGTTCCGCCAGTAAGTCATCATGCGTCCGAATGTGAGAACCTTGTGGTTATTGAGAAAATACATCAACAATACATAAAACTTTATTTCTATTATCAATCAATTGTGAACCTTATAAATAAAGTCAAATAAAGATGTTTTTTTAAGCTTTAAACTGCTAGATGTTTAAATGTAAAGAAAAGTTTTTACTAGAAAAAATCCACGCGGACCAGGCAGCGGACGGAACTCGAACCCGCACCTTTCGCAATCCGGGTCCTGACCAATCAAATAAAGATTATCGACGATTGAGGCTGTTTTGACATCTAATAAAAATCGTTTTGAACTGAGGCTCAACACGAATTATGACAGCTTCGCAATCGTATAGCATCGTCCAAAGTTGTTTTAATCTTTGTAACACAGAAAATACGCAATATTGTTATATTGAGTACACATGCAGCGTGTTTAAATGTCCAGTTGTGACTAAAGCGAATTGTGGTCATGCACCACAATTTAAGCGGATCACTTTTGAGCCGCGAGTGCCTTATCTTCCCTTTTTGTTTTAATCTAAGGTTTTTTTCATTCATGACTGATGGAATTGACTCACGTCTGCATGAGTCCATTATAATGGACACCCAAGGATCCGAACGCCTAGAATAATGATAAAAGTTAATAGTTCGCGCTTTATAGCCGTTAAAAAAGTAATTAATAAAATGCAAGATACCTTCCCGGACAGTCGACAAAAGGCAAGCCGTAAAGCCACTGTGGCTTAGCTCTCGTAAACCTTAATTTGGCGTGACACACTTTTCTTAATTTTCATAGAAAATTTGATATACATTTACTTATTAACATAGAAGCCTGAAAAAATAGTATATAAATTCAAAATCCTGTGTATCCTATTGTTCATATTGGCAAAATAGGAGTTAAGCAATGCTACTAAATGAATATATAGTACGATTCAAACTTTATGGCAGCAGTGAAGTTAGTAGCTATGAAAGGCTTGTGTTCAGTCAATACCCGCAAGAGCCTACGTTTCGTTTAGAGCTCTGTGACTTGCGCTAACTTTACAGCCGCTATTTAGTTTGAGTCGCACTATTAGTTCCTAATAAACTGTTTATGTTGCCGATCCTGACTGTTGTATAACGCTTTTTTTATTTAACATTGGTGTTGATGCTGGTATGATTATATAAACCTAAACTTAAATTTGACAACAGTGTATCCTTTATTCTCTATACAGAATGAAAAGGAGAGAATGATGTTAGATTTAGTTTAAAGTTTAGAAGAGCATGACAGAATTTACACCAATGTCATATGTATTACAAGTAAACAACTTTTTATTTCTTTCTCAATAGTCTATTTACCTTCTCTGCTTCATTCCCCTGTGCAGTCAACACGTTTTGACTGAACATGTCCAAGAAATCCTTAGCTAACGGATTGCCCACTTTGTATTTAGGACCGTCTTTGTGAGGCAGCCTTAGGAAGTGGCAGCAACCTAGCAAAACATTAGAGGCTTATAAAATGTAAGGTCAACGAAGTCCTGGGGGTAATATCTAATTTTGACAACAGTATGTTCTTATCATCACACTAGCTAGTATTATAAAGGCGAAAGTTTGTGAGTGTGTAAGTGTGTATGTTTGTTACTTCTTCATGTCTTATCGACTGGATCGATTTTAATAGAATTTGGTATGGAGTTAGCTAACACCCTGGATTAACACATTGGCTATGTATTACTGCGGGAAAATATCCCTAATAAACACAGCTAGTATTGTATAAGAAAGGAAAAGGATAGATTGTTGGCAAGTTTACAAAGACGAATAGCCATGTGAATACTATAAGAATTAACTAATGTAAAAAAAAAAAATCTAATGTAAAGGTAACAAAATCAATGTATCATTATTGTTTATTGCTTATGATAGTAATAACTTTTTTTAACCGCAATTATACTGGACGTTATTGGGTATTGATGTTGCAACATAGTTTTTATTTACTATAACAGTAATGTCGTAATGTCAGCACTTCGCATGGCTATTCGTATTAGCTACTTGTGAATTCGAAAACTGCCGTTCCTTTTTATCTTCTTAAAGGGACAACCTGCTGTCAAAATGACAAATAGCAAACACGAATAGCCATGTGCAGTGCAAGCATAACACAGTGGGATATACAGCCACTTCTTTAATATAGTTTGGAATGCACCTAAGGTTAAATATCGAACACCAAACAGACATAATAAGAGCAAATTTTTTGACCGAATACTTTGCTATAACCTTAGATTAAAACAAAAAGGGTAGATACGGCACTAGCCTCACAAAAGTGATCCGCATAAATTGTAGTCCACGACCCTAATCGCTTTAGTCACAACTTGACATGCAAACGACGTACATAAGAACGCCAAAAAGAAATATTGCTAATATTTTGTGTTTATATGATAAAACAATGCCTAAGGGTGTTTTTAAAAAGTGCTCAAAATGCTCAAGAACTAAAAATAAAACCCACGGCATCACTTTTCATTAATAAGTACTATAAAATATATCTACTATATAAAAATGAGTCGGGTTTTCCTTCCTGACGCTATAACTCCAGAACGCACGAACCGATTTCCACAGTTTTGCATTCGTTGGAAAGGTCTCGGGCTCCTTGAGGTTTATAGCAAAGAAAATTCAGGATTTTTAAAAAAAAAATCGTTTTCTTTTAATCACAAAACGAAATGTTACATAAAACGAAGCTATCTGGTGGCGAAACGGAGTTCGCTGGGTTTGCTAGTTTTTTCATAAAAATTGCTGTTTGTTTTGAATCTTATTCGATAGTGATTTCGAGTACTTGTCGCGTGATTGGTCGGGAGTGCGGTGACGCGGTACTCGCCGTCTCGTTCGCGCTGCCGTTGAAACTTAACATGCTGTTTCGTTCGGGTCGGTAATGCAGTGACGCGGATCTCCCCGTCCCGTTCGCGCTGCCGTGGGATCAGTTTTTGTTTGATGCAAGTATGAGCGTACCGCATCTACCCTTTTTGTTTTAATCTAAGGCTATAACTATAAAGGATAATATACATATGTCTCTTTTCTTGCTTATATATACAAAAAAAATAACTATATTAGTCGACTTTATGAGTTGAATTTTAACTTTGCCTATTATTTCTTATTCTGAGATTGGTTACAAAGAAATTATTATGACCTATTAAAAACGATAGATACCTTGTATCTGAATACCGCTCCATACTCCAAGGCCGTGGTATTGGTTCGCCGCCGCTTGTTCATCTACCTTTTTTCTTGCGTAGTAAGCACGTCGGCCTAGATCTTCCTATAGGTAAAAAAATCATCATCATCATCAGCCTAATAATATACCCACTTCTGGGGCACAGGCCTTCTCTATGGATGGAATAGGGAGATTGGGCCATGACCCACCCCGTGGGCCCAGTGCGGATTGGCGGGTGCTAACGACTACAGATGCAGCCGGGACCAACGGCTTAACGTGCCTTCCGAAGCACGGAGGAGCTCGAGATCGTGAATTTTTGGTCTCCCATCCAATGACCGACCACTGCGAAAGTTGCTTAACATCAACAATCGCAGCCCAACGCGCTAAAGAGCTCCATCGAGGGTAAAAAAAAAACTTATACTAATTGAGAATCTCCTCCTTTTTTACACATACTTTACTAAATACATAAGACATTTTTCATATTTATCAGTTTTCAACGAATAAATAAGTATCAATTTATTGATAGTTAATTTTAATTCAGGTGGCTCGAAGGACCAAAATGAATATCTACGACAGTTCTACAAGCTATTTATCAAATGAGTTATACAATGAATAATAAGTCAATTTATGAATAGTTAATTTAAATTCAGGTGGCTCGAAGGACCAAAATGAATATCTATGAAAGTTCAACAAGCCATTTATCAAACGAGTATTCAAGGAATAATAATTCAATTTATTAATAGTTAATTTTAATTCAGGTGGCTCGAAGGACCAAAATGATTTACGATAACAGTTTAACAAGGCACTTAGTAAATGATAATTCCACGAATACTATGTCAATTAATTAATAGTTAATTTAAATTCAGGTGGCTCGTAGGACCAAAATGATTAATGATGATAGTAAAATATAATATGATCAGAAGAATGTCATACAAACAAAATATTTGTTAAATTCATCCATAAATTCAGCAATGTATTATTTATGAGGAGATAAAGTTTGTTCGTAGTAAGTAATCTCTGGAGCAACGGAAATCAGTGAACTTCACTAGTAGAAAGCAATATTATTCCAAAGTGACATAAACTATATGTTATCATATTTTTGTAATTTTCAAGTCTAAAGAAAATTTTACTAGAAAAATATCCACGCGGTCCAAGCAGCAGACAGGACTCGAACCAGCACCCTAACGTATTAAAACGTACACAAACGAATATATACATTTAACTTAAGTAGTTAATAGCTTAAAAATATAATTACCCTAAATTTTACCAGTGTAAAGCAGTTGGTCAGTTAATTACAATTAAATTTTTACATACAACCGCTTCAATGCTGGCATGACTCTCTAAACATAACATTAAATTTGACAACATTGTATCCTTGTCGTTCTCTATACAGAATGAAAAGTAGAGACTGATCTTTAGTTTTAAGTTTAGAGAATCATGACATAATCATCACAATTATTTATATTAACTCTTATATTTTCATTGATTTGCAAATAAATAAATACCTCAACAGTCTTTGGTAACTTATGGACATCAGTCTCAATATCACTCTCCTTACAGAAAGTCATAGGGCACGCCAATAGCAATTGTTCTAGAGGAAGCACAGGTTCATACTCTGCTTCCTTCTGGATTCTACTGAACGGAACGAGGAAGCCCCAACCTTCAGATTGGATATAGTGGAGGGGATAACCTTCCCAAGACAGACGAAGTAGTTTCGGGGTTATCTATAACGAAAATGTTTTACATTTACATAAACAGTTTTATCTTAAAACACTTTTTAATGGATTTCAACTGTGCTTTTTAATACTTTTAATATTTCCCGACATTTCAGATCGTTTACAGACTGTTTTCAAAAGAATGTCTTATTCTAGTGAAAACGGAGCCTGTAAAGAATTGTTGAGAAAGTGTTGTATTTAATGAGTTGTGTGCATGAAATCATACAAATTAAATACAGCTTTACCTTCCTCAAGGAATTTCTTAATTGAAAGCATTTTTTGCTTGGGACAACCATATAATTTAGTTTCATGGTGACCAGATAAATATTACAAAGCAGTTTAGCCAAGCTTAATCCAAAAACGTAACAGATATAAAATTGTTATCAAAATCAACGAATTAGAACTGATATCGAATAGGAACTGCATTAAAAAGTTGTTCCACGCAAACTGTGATCAAGTCATGGGTGGGATTGGTTGGGATTTCCGTTCAACATTATCTCACCCAATAAATGGATCATCATCATCATCCGCCTATTAATGTCTCCACTGCTGGGGCACAGGCCTTTCCTATGGATGAAATAGGGAGATTGGACCATGACCCACCACGTGGGCCCAGTGCGGATTGGAGGGTGCTAACGACTACAGGTGCGGCCGGGATCAACGGCTTAACGTGCCTTCCGAAGCACGGAGGAACTCGAGATAGAAGATTTTTGGTCACCCATCCGATGACCGACCACTGCGAAAGTTACTTAACATCAACGATCGCAGCCGAACGCGCTAACCACCCGCGCCATCGAGCTACTCAATAAATTGATAAAAAAAAATCATTTGTAAATAAGTATTGGATTTGTTTAATTATTTTCTTATGTCTCTGTGTGTGTGTCGCGTTACTATTGAAGTTTAGTTGTATGAGTTTGGAACCATGTTTTAACGGCCTTTGTCAGAGAATAATTCTTTCATAACATTTCTAATTCATTAATCAAAATATACTAACCTGCATGCTAGTCGTTATATTATTAGCACCCGGTATCCAATCCGGATCTTTGCCAGGTTTAGTACAAAGTTTTCTGTACCATGCTGGGTAGCCAGCCAAATATGGCCTTTTCACGGGTAGCAAATCCCCCAGCTCATAAAGATAACTAAACTTTTCATTAAGCTCTTCTACATTTTCAATCTTTTCAAACTCTTTAATTGTGTGCTTAACGTAATCTATGTATTCCTCGTTCAAAACAGTCGGTTCCTTATCAAATTTAATGGTTTTAACTTCTGGCGCCCCAGAGATTTTTTCAGTCTTTTCTATGGCATCTTTTTTTGTTTTGGTTCTACCTTGTTTCTTTAATTTTAGCGTTTGCGTCGACCAATCTTGATCCCACATCCAAATGTCTTTCTTGTAACCGCCGTTTTCCATGAGACGGCAGGCTTCGTCTGCTTTCTGTGAAAGCAGTTGCCTTGACTCCAATTTTAAGTCCTCGAAAACAGTTTCGGCGGAATCTATGTACTGTAACCAGTTAGAATTGACAGGAAGATATGCTGAACCTGAAAAGTTAGTATTATAAGTCTATTACAGCATGAATTTTTACCCCGAAAGGTGGCAATCGTAGTGGCAAACAATTTACAATTTAATCTTAACAATTAAGAAAATCAAAAATTCGACATAGAAGCGCTTTACTAGCTTATGGGCCATACAATGGCGCGTACGGTAAAACAATTACCGCACGCTACCATACATGGCGCCGTTAACGGGTTTTTTTTTATTTCGGTCCAACCTACTTGAAAACGCTTTAAATCTATATCTTTATCTCACTTTAGTACTAAAAAGAAAGAGACGAAAGATGTAGTTCTAATTTTCACCACCCGCACGTGGTGTCATTTGGAAATGCGCGGCATATTATTATTAAAAAAGTTTACTTCATTAGGTATTTAAATTAGGTATAGGTACTATTTCTCGCAAATGTGTTGAAAAACGTTGTATGACATTCGTACGGAATTGGTATTAGAAACTCGTGACTATGATAACATTCGTGTACTCGTCTGTAATAACAAACTTACCGCACTAATATCATAAATAACTATTTCGTTACGTAGCTTTTAGCAACTTGTCATCATCAGCCCATTAATGTCCCCACTGCTGGGGCATAGGCCTTCCGTATGGAATAAGGAGATTGGGCCATGACCCACCACGCGGGTCGGTGGGTGTTAACGACTGCAGATGCAGTCGGGACCAACAGCATAGCGTACCTTCCGAAGCACGAAGGAGCTCGAGATAGCTAGAGATTCGGTCACCTATCCAATGATCGACCACTGCGAAAGTTGCTTAACTTCAACGATCGCAGCCGAAATAGAAACAGCAGCTTGTAATAGAGAAGTTTCACGATGTTGATAACTTAATAGAATTGAAATATACATCGAAACTAATATACCAGTGAAAATTTTTTTGAAATCCGTCAAATAATCATTGAGAAACACATTATTTAAGTTTACGTATTTTAGCGCGGAACGATTTGGGCCTCTGGCTCGCCTCTGACGTCATTTCACCTATAGTCGAGATCGTGGCACCAGAGCGCTTGCGCTACTTGTAGGTATTTTACGTACAGCTGTTTGTTGATTCTTTATAAGTAGTGTAATTTTTATTTTAACATAATGGTAGAAGATTTCGTGAAAGGAAAAAGTGATAATTTACCTAAAATTGATAATTTACACAAAAAATGTTTATTAGGCGTTTTAACTGTCGTGCTTTGACACATAGGCACAACACAATATCTGTACGCATAGTTTTTAGCCTCAGCCATTATAATAATAAACAAAACACGACACGGGCGGCGCAAATCACAGCACGCCCATGAATTTATACATTCTAAGTGTATACGCGCCGCGTCGACTAGATGAAGTGACATCACACGCTGGCCTGCCGCATGAAACGAAATTATTGTTACAGGCGCTACTTTAAAGTCCCATAACTTTTTTATTTTTAGAGATATTTTAATGATTCTTTCAAATTTTTGTTTCATTTTACTTGAATTTTTACAATTGATATATTTAAAAAAATAGGAAGCTTCTTCATTAATATTAAATTCATTTAATAAATATAATGACGTAAAGTGTAAGCAATTTATGGTCCTTCGAGCCGGATTACCTAATTCTAACATTCCTGCCAACGTGACCGGATGTGGAAATCGCTCCAAGAACAAAGGTAAAAGATTCTTCAGTATATTATGTGTGGCTATGACGTCACCGGCGCAATAATGCATAAGCTTTTGGAAGTTGTCATGAACATCTTCCATAGTGCCATCCACGAAGATGTCTCTTGTGGCTTTATCTACTAATGTTCCGCAATATAATTTGTGAACCTGAAAACGAATTAAATTCAGTGAGTTTGTAGATTTTGTTGTAAGTATTATGTTTGACCTAGCGGCTGCCCGCGACTAAGTTCGCTTTAACTTTAGTCTTTTAAAAATTCCACGGAAACTAAACATGACTGTGTCCTATGCGTCAATTCAAGTCATCACACTAATATTATTAAGGCAAATGTTTGTGAGTGTGTATTTATGTTGCTTTTTCACGTTTAAACGGCTAGAGCGATTTTAAAATAAAATTTCGTATGGAGTTAGCTGACACCCTGGATTTACACATAGGCTACGTTTTAGTGCAGGCAACAATCCTTAATAAACAGCGGGTAACACCGTGGGGCACATCTAGTAGTGCAATAAAGGCTATTTGTCAAATTTTATAAAACATTCAAACATAAGAGTAAAGTGACCCCATATAAAGTGGATATTTATAATTCTATTGCGCATATCAGTAAAAATAGCAAAATAAAAAATTGGTTTTCAAATATTATGCCACTGCAACATTTCTCTAGCAAATATGGCGTTTCATAGGCAGGTGACGTCACACAGCTCACATTAAATCGTCAACAGTACAAAGTAGTGTCACCTTGACCGAATGTTTACTAGCAGGTGAAGTCATTTTAGGCACTGCCAATCCTAGGCGTTTTCGGTCAGGTGACAATAGATCAAAAAATACTTTTCTTATCAACTACTTTTTTGACAGAATGGTGAAATCCCTCCCAATACTGATGTTAAAGACAAATGCTAAAATTGGTACTTTATTCTTCATACTGTCAAATAGCCTATCACAGCCTAACACTGTGGAATATATTGTCGCAAGCAGTGCAGTCTTTGACCTATTGGAGGCCCTGGGCATATTATGAAAATGGGGCCCCTACGGTCCCCGTTTGGTGATTTAAGAGGAACTAAGGACTTTGTATTTGATCTGAGGGGGCCCCCTATCGATCGCGGGGCACTGGGCACTTGCCCAAAGTGCCCACTGGGAACGAGGGCTCTGGTCGCAAGCAGTGTTTCCAGAACCAATACCACCCGAAAACCTGCAAAAATTTTAGTTTATATTTTTTTTTATTGAGAGAGAGAGAGCGTACTCCTTCCTTAAAGGCAGCGCGCATTTGTGATACTCCTGGTGTTGCAGGTGTCTATGGGCGACTTACCATCAGGTGGGCCGTCTGCTCGTATGCACTTTACTACATAAAAAAAGGCAGAAAGATAAAAAAGCAGAAAATATAAGCAGTTTAATGAGAACCTCACTAAGATTGTTAAGTGAACTGATTTCCATCCAGTCATCATCACTGGGGTGGCTTTCCTTATTTTTGGCCTTCAATACTGTCCTTTGGTAGCTTGTAACTCCACTAACACATGTGTGCATCGACATGGTGTCCATAAAACGGACTCCTAAAATTTGAATGTTTTTTACAATAAGGATCCGTAATGATTTTAGTTGAGAATGCAGATTTATAGAGCTAAGGATTCCATAAAATACAGTGGTTGAATTTTTGTTCGACGACAAATATTGACGAAGATATGACCAAATTACTAAACGATTTTTCGGCTGGCCGCGTTATGACTGTAACGTCACAAAGCTCTAGCGTTCGGGAGCAAGCGTGCGTAGAGACGCTACTACAGTTAGACCGGTGTGAACCCACGTTTCGGCCGCCGGTGAATATTGGCTACCATAACATTAGTTATAAAATCGCAACAAATGAACCGATTTCGATGATTTAAAAAGTATGTTAATTAAATAGCTTCTTAAATCAATTCACTGTTGATTTTGAGTTGATTTGCTGATCTAGTAATGATCCTGATTATAAATTTAATACGTAATTTTTCGTATTGATTGAAATGGAATAAATGCACTCTTGATTTGTAATATTTTATAAATTTTCTGTAATTTTAGTAAGAAATGTTTTTTTAATTAATTTTATTTTTATTTCAGAAATAGACCACATGCCAAAAGTAATAAATAATTAATAATTTCATATACACACCAGTTTTCTGCAACCAATATTGTTCTTTGATCTTGGCCCTATCATAAGATACATTGTGACCAACTATGATTCTAGGCCGGTCTAGGTTCCCACATGGACTCATGTCATCAGTTTCTAGGGGTATCAGGTCATTATAATTGACAGAATCATATTGCTTGTGCTTATCCCCATTCGCAAGAGGTTCGCTAACCCACCCATACCTACAAATTCTAAAGGTCAGTGTTATCCTTAAAATTATTTAAATTGCTATGAATGTAACACAATTCATACATCAAAGCACCTTTACTTTATTTATAGTAACAAAGGTGTACTCAATGCTAAAAACATTCTGTACCAGTCAACATTTGCGAAAAAATATATTCATGAAGGAAGGCGGCAATACCTATATCTTTAAACTGAAAATAAAACCTCATACTAAACATGAAATTAAAAAATGAGTTTATTAATTTTTATCTGACCAATAAATATTAAAATACTAATTTTATGATAATATGATATGGAGATCAGAAACAAATATGTACTAGAATAGTGGTAGCTGTTGTAGTTCAAGACATGACAGTCTTGCTTAAGTGCGTGAGCACACGATGCGTTGCGGCGCCGCACCGCAAAGATTTCGTCGCATCGGTGGGCACTCGAGCGGTGCGGCACCGGCACCGCACCGTTCTTACATCGCGCCCCAGCCGCGTACAATCTCTATGACGCATAAACAACTCCGACGTCGCAACGCATTCTCCCCTCCCCGCCTCGTCTCGGTGGTTGCAAGTCCGGTGCGGCGCCGGAGCGCATCGTGTGACATGCCACAGATATTTCTATGTAAGACGACGCAGCGACACCGCTCCGGCGCCGCACAGCCGCCGCAACGCATCGTGTGCTCCCGCTCTGAGGCATTAATGTTTTTTTACATGGATTGAACTGAACTAGGTAAATAACCTGAGATCTCTTTACTTACTCCACACAACACTGATTTTGTATAGAAGAGTACCTACCAGGCTTCAGAAGACACCGCGCATGCTAGCGTCGGTCTTTTCCCGGCTGACATTAAAACTTCCACATCAAATACGAGGGCATCATCTGGTGGGCAAGGTACTTCATGAGGTGTGTCACCTATATACTTACACCATCCAGCTGACTTTGACCATTCCTACAATAAAAATATATAAACATTCCTAACATAAAAATAACACCTCAACCCTTTATAGGAAGGACACTGCATACAAGGTGGCCTGTAAACTGGACAGTCACTTTAAGGTCAAAATTAAGTACAGTTTGGTTACGAAGTTGAACCTAATGAACATTTTCGACTTGTGTTGAAGCAAGCTTCATATTAGTCGAGCAAAATAAAGAATTCGCACTAAATTTCAAAGCACTGTGTACTAGCCACTGTGCGCCCACATGGTAGTTTTTACTGTCATTGTGAGTATGCGAAACATATTTTGAAATACTACAGTGATAAAAAATATGCCTAGTAGGAAAAGGTGAGTAAAAGAAATATTACCTAACGTTTACATATGTAACTTTGAACTGATGTATACAGTATTTATTTTGGAGTGATTCTTTGAAATAGTTTTATTTACATTACATATAAATAACTGTTTATTAATATGTAATAATAAATTTACCTAAAACATTGTGTCACAATATCACGTCACTTGTAGTAATTTTTCTGTGCAGTTTTGTGCTAGTGTGTAGGTATAAAAATGCATGGAATGCAGATTGGTCAAAAGCTTTACCTGGCCACTAGTTTTTCATGATTTTCTTGAAAAATATGTATTTAAGTTTATTATTAAATAAATATACAACGCATTATTATTTGCACCTTAGAACATAGTATGTTCATACAAATTTATTGCATATTAAATAGAATTTAGGTGTGTGTTAAAGGGTTAAGGAGGTTAAATAAATTAACTATTACCAACTTTTAGAGAGGAAGAGCACAGCAGGTTTTTAGCTGGAATTGGAGCTCCCCTCTGGGGAAGCAACAGCGAAAATACTTACTCTAGGTTTTTGCGGTAGTTTTCCTGATGCCAATTTCTTCAGTATCTCTCTATATGGAGCACTCTGTTTCTCACCAATGTTATAAAAGTGCTCAATCACATCACTGCCTTCTAGTTGTGGTAATTTTAATTCTACATCAGGCAAATGTTGGTGTTCTTTATAATTAATACCATGTTTGAGTAAATTGTCTTGCGAGCTGTAATTTTGGTAGACGTTAAGGTTTAAATACTATTTAATTCTAAATTCCCACACTAAAGGACAATTAAATAAATGCTACCTTTTAACGATAGTTTCATCAATGACAGGGTTGGTATTTTTAAATAATTGTCGATATATATTCTGTGAAATCATTTGGATATTTACTTCGTTTACCCTAAACTCACTGGAAATGTTTTTATTGGGTTCCAAAACTTTATTTGCGTTGAGGTTAGCTGCGACTTTAGCCTTTTTCCGTCGAATAATTTTAGACTCACTCTTTGGAAAAATATCACAAAATGATCGTCTGTTTCTTAAAATGGATTTAGCAGATAAATAATGTTTGTTAATGTACATACTGGTGTTTCTTTTAAAAAATAATGTACGCGCTCTCTGTTTCAATCATTTTTTTTAGATCTATTCTTCTCTTTTGAGAAAGGCAAAAGCAAAGCCATGCAGCCATCGTCTTATTTTTGTATTAATCTTCCTTTTTTTTACATTAGAATGTGGGTGTGACGCATTCTAATGCTTCTTGGAGTGTTTGGCACGAAATATATCGAGTTAGCTTTTTCGACAAACTTCTGTGAGGTAGTCAATACTACAATAAAGTTCGCACGTCCACTTAACCGGAATAGCGTATATTTTAAAGATTCCACTAATTCTTCTACCCCGAGAGTCCTGAAACTTACAAACTCAAGGTAACCCAAGAAAATGTACTACGACCTTCTGTACCCTTACAGAATCCACTGAAAGAAATCCACCTGGATTGACCACGTTTACCCACGCACGAATCTTCTACCCTCCCTAAGTTGCTCCGACATAAAGTTTAACTGCATTGCTCCGCGAGCACTGCCTGGCGCCACTGTGTCAGCGGGGACTTCCGCGAACCCAGCTGCATGCTGCAGCCCTTGAGCGCGCGGCAAGGTGCCCGCTCGACCAGGATCCGACGCGTAGCATGGCTGACCCGCCGCTCCCAATGCCGCTGACACCACCCACAGTGCCTCGCTCCGATTTCGGACGAGGAGCTCTCTAGCGTTTTAGCTCGATCGTTCGAGATTACATCGCCGCGCGTCAAATATGAATTTGACGCCACGATGGTATCTCGATTCTCGACCTCGACTCTCTGTTCCGGAGCTCTAATTTTGCATCACTCGCCTGACATGGTATCGTCGAATTATCGAAATTCAATGATTCGACGGAGGAAAATTTAGGATTGTATGTATTTTTGTATGATATAATATCATAAAAAAAAAATTAAGGGTGGACCACCCATAACATTTAGGGGGATGAAAAACTGATGTCCGATTCTTAGACCTACTATATTATGCATTAAAAAATTCACGACAATCGGTCGAGCCGTTTCGGAGTAGTTCAATTACGCACATCGTGACATAAGAATTTTATATATTAGATTAATTAAAAAAAATAACGACTTAAATTGTATTAATAGGTATTCGTAGTACGCGACTAGATTGACGGCTGCTGGTCGGGAACTGAGGTGCGGGTAGGGTAGGATTAGCTACCTCTATGACGCCCCGTCAAGTTTTTTAGGAACAGTTTTGTTACGTAACATTAAATACGAGTAAACCTATAGAACACTGTCCATACAGAACTTTCGATAAGGTCGCCGCAAACACGTTTGACAAACATTGTTCGTTAGTGGTACGCACGTGGGAATCAAGTTGTTGCTTATCATGAAACGCGACAAATTTGTGCGTACGTACGTACGCGACTTAAGGTTTTTGTGACTTGTGGGATTCTCAAAAAACTAGTTGCTTGGACTAAGACAAAGGGGGAAGCTGATTTCTAGTGAAGTTCATAAGCAATTGAGAAATTTCATTTATGATTGTGGTTAGCACACTACTGGGTGGGGAAACTTTTGTAAGAATCCCTACATATATTTTATCCCATTACCTGCTGGTAGTGTATCAACAATGAACAATTGGTATATAACTCGAGGACTCAAAAGTAAATGTTAGCAAAAGAAAGAGAAGGGGTAAAAGGTGCAAAATTAGGTCCTTTATCTTCAGTCCTATTCCTGGTATTTTCATTTTTCATATTCATTGTGAGGGTAGGGTAACAATTTAAATGTTGAATTAAATACTTCAAGAATAACCATTTATTATTGTGTCAAAATATTCAATACATAATACTATATCCATTACTTAAACTATCTAAAATATGACAATGGAGTGTAAGTTCAAAAATAAGATAACTTAGTGCAATAAAAGGGAATGTATGATTCAGTTAGTTCTCAGTTGATAGTCTCCATTTTGTGTTATATACCGAACCCAAGGTAAAGCTTGGTATCCACTTTTTTCAATAATCTTCAAATACCTTACTTGTATGCCTGAAGTTGTGAAATATGGGATCTCAAACTTAACTTGTATTGGAGGCTTTCCATCAAGTTCTTCACACACAACTGATGGCAAACCAAAATGTGCTCTCATTAAATACTCCTTGCCACCTGGAAATGATTTTATAGACCAAGTGATTGCATTCTGCTCAGGAGTATATTTTACACTGCCAATTGTAGTTTTAAACTTAGGAGAGTCAGCATCAGCCGGAACTGGTATAATGATCTCCACATTATTAGCTGTTGAGCGCCGTTTGAACTGGGACTTGGCTTTTATCATATACTCTACCCTTGAATGAGCATGACGCTCAATAACAGATTCAATCCAAATCAAAGGTTTCACATGTGTGTTCAGCCTGTATGACATGAGTTCAAACTCACCATCAGGTGGAATGAAAGATATTGTTCTATCATTTTCAAAACGTGACAATCTGACACACTGGTGGAACTTAACATCTTCTAACTCCACAGACTTAGATTTACCTCTGCCTGTGCTTTCAAATAAGACTTTGTCATTCAGGCCAAGTCTCAACTCAGGCATGCCAGATAAGTATACACGCATTTTAATTGCTCCAACAATCTCACTCCTGAGAACATTTCCGTTTGAATTAGCCAATAAATTTACCGATTCAATTACATCCAAGAAAACTTCATTTTTTCTATACTTGATGCCTTCAGATCGCCACGACACAGCATTTGTAACTGCCATGGGTATTCGAGGCTGCATTTCCAACTTGTGACCCTCCTGAGTAATGTACTCTTGGAGAATCTTACTATCTGTTGTTTGTGGATACCCAAAGTCAATCAATTCATCTAGGAGCTCGTAAATAACAACAAAGTTGTCCCGAATACTCTCCTCCTCCAGTTCTTTGAAATATTCTGTCATAACTTCGACAATTTTGTACAAGAATACAAAAACAAGTGCAATGTTTGCATTCTTCTTAGTAGTGGATACTATATACAAATTGTTGGTTTTAATGTAAGAAAATGTGCACTCAGTAGTTTGCAGTAGCGGAGTCAGCATTCCTTCTTCTTCTTTTTCCATAAGTAAAGGCATGAATTTGTCAATGACACTCATGTCTACATCTCCTCGATAATTTCTCGAAATAAGGACTTTGCCCTTAACATCTAAAATGTATATTGCTGAAGAAGACATTGTGAGGCTGAAAGTATTAAAAAATCACGTTAAGTTATAACTACCAGCTAAAAATTAGATCATGGTTGTACAAACTGTGTTGTGATACTACTTTTATAATGAATGCAGTATTCTGTTTGTGGAGTGTTCGATTTTATATAGTTATAATTGTTTACACTATTAATCGTAATACTTACAGAAATAATTTCAACTGCCTAAAATAGAAAAATTACATTATCTCGGATCGGAAATTATACGTAAGCCACCTTAATTTTTGAGATAAGTGACATTTACACAGATTAAAGCAGAGGCAGAGGTGACAAGACAGCAAGTCAGTGTGACCAGATTATGTTTTACGAAAATACTGAGTCAGCTATGAAAATTTAATAGGCAAATGCCTGACTCTGCTTAATCAAAGATTAAACCATAATAAAGCTAAAAAGTATTATTTGCCTTATCACATTCTATAAATAATAAAAAGCAAACACGGTGGTCGAATACACCATACAAGTAAAGTTTTTTTTAAATAAAGTTTCTATGGTTCTCCAATTCTGATATGATTCTTATAATATAACTCTGGCCAAATTACAGTAAATAGGGTTTTTTCGTGTCGCCACTCATAATCCTTTGGCTCTTTCATATAGTCTACCATTTGAGAAAGAAAGGTTAATCATATTATTTGGTCATTCAAATCAGAAAAATATGACATAGATTTCAACATCAGTACTATACTAAAACGAATTTTTGATGTGTGACATCTTTCCTCTCGCTTTCCTGCAATTTGTGGGAGTGATTTCGTGAAAGGGGACGAAAGTGTGTAACAGGAAGTCGCAAAAGCGCGTTCCTTCTGTAGTAGGTTTTATTTCTTCTTTTACTAATATAAGATGAAGTTTCAAATGTTACACATCATACGCGACTACTGTAACACCCATATTCTTAGTCGTTTCCTCGAGATTTTTTCCACTCGACTCAACCTCATTGGAGGAAATTCGTATGCTTAGACAACAAAAATATCCTTCACTTGAGATATTCCTCACTCGAGTGGAGGTCGAGTCGAGGAATAAATTGTCAAACTCAAGGTAGCTCTCGACGTACCTTAAGGCTTCCTCGAGTGGTGTTTAAGGTGTTTTCAAGTTTTATGTCTGATTTTGAGATTATTGACGAATTTGTGGATTTTATGGATTACGTATACGATTTATTTATTTATTTATTCAGTAACACATACACGATGATTAACCATATAATTTTCCGGCGCGACGGTATTTACGTGATGTCGCAAATCCTTTTATGGTTTACGACAATGATTCGTTTCAAAGAAGATTTCGGTTTAGAAAAGATACAGTCATACAAGTAATATTTCCTGTGTTAACCATTATAGAAATAAAATCCTCCAAATGATGACGTCACAATGTTGAGGAATTCTCAGTGGAGGAATTCTCAAGTTTGTTCAAGATACCAACTAGAATACCATTTTCGAGGTTATTTGGAGGAACTCCTTAAGGAGCCCTCGAATGAGTTTGAGTCGAGGAACGTTTGAGGACGCGATTAAGAATATGGGTGTAAGTCTCGCTCGTTTTTTTTCAATCACTGATTAATTTATGATGACTCTACAATATAACAAACTCGTACCATTAATTATCTTCCAAAATACTGTTAAAGTTGAATTGAGATGCAGTGTTGAAGAAACAATACTCTTAATAATAATATAACATAAATACAACCGAAAAGAAACCCTGTCTAAACAAAACCATAGTAAACAGGTATTCTTAATAAATATTATTAAGGACATCACATCAGAAGAAAATATAACTAGAAAAAATTCCACGCGGACCAGGCAGCAGACGGGACTCGAACCCGCACCCTTCGCAATCCGGGCGAATGCACTGACCAATTATGCTACCGCGGCCCTCACGGACCGCGTCGAAATTCTTTCTAGCTATTCTTAAGCTGCAAGGCAGCGCCATCTCTTCGCATTATAGGTAAACCCACAATGTCAAATGTATACTTTTACAAGTATTAAACATTTGAAAGAAGAAATAGCAATTATAGTTATAATTTTTTATTATTTTTAAAGCATGTAACTGCTTGATGTTTAAATCTAAAGAAAATATAACTAGAAAAAATTCCACGCGGACCAGGCAGCAGACGGGACTCGAACCCGCACCCTTCGCAATCCGGGCGAATGCACTGACCAATTATGCTACCGCGGCCCTCACGGACCGCGTCAAAATTCTTTCTAGCTATTCTTAAGCTGCAAGGCAGCGCCATCTCTTCGCATTATAGGTAAACCCACAATGTCAAATGTATACTTTTACAAGTATTAAACATTTGAAAGAAGAAATAGCAATTATAGTTATAATTTTTTATTATTTTTAAAGCATGTAACTGCTTGATGTTTAAATCTAAAGAAAATATAACTAGAAAAAATTCCACGCGGACCAGGCAGCAGAAGGGACTCGAACCCGCACCCTTCGCAATCCGGGCGAATGCACTGACCAATTATGCTACCGCGGCCCTCACGGACCGCGTCGAAATTCTTTCTAGCTATTCTTAAGCTGCAAGGCAGCGCCATCTCTTCGCATTATAGGTAAACCCACAATGTCAAATGTATACTTTTACAAGTATTAAACATTTGAAAGAAGAAATAGCAATTATAGTTATAATTTTTTATTATTTTTAAAGCATGTAACTGCTTGATGTTTAAATCTAAAGAAAATATAACTAGAAAAAATTCCACGCGGACCAGGCAGCAGACGGGACTCGAACCCGCACCCTTCGCAATCCGGGCGAATGCACTGACCAATTATGCTACCGCGGCCCTATTTCTTCTTTCAAATGTTTAATACTTGTAAAAGTATACATTTGACATTGTGGGTTTACCTATAATGCGAAGAGATGGCGCTGCCTTGCAGCTTAAGAATAGCTAGAAAGAATTTCGACGCGGTCCGTGAGGGCCGCGGTAGCATAATTGGTCAGTGCATTCGCCCGGATTGCGAAGGATGCGGGTTCGAGTCCCGTCTGCTGCCTGGTCCGCGTGGAATTTTTTCTTGTTATATTTTCTTTAGATTTAAACATCAAGCAGTTACATGCTTTAAAAATAATAAAAAATTATAACTATAATTGCTATTTCTTCTTTCAAATGTTTAATACTTGTAAAAGTATACATTTGACATTGTGGGTTTACCTATAATGCGAAGAGATGGCGCTGCCTTGCAGCTTAAGAATAGCTAGAAAGAATTTCGACGCGGTCCGTGAGGGCCGCGGTAGCATAATTGGTCAGTGCATTCGCCCGGATTGCGAAGGGTGCGGGTTCGAGTCCCGTCTGCTGCCTGGTCCGCGTGGAATTTTTTCTAGTTATATTTTCTTTAGATTTAAACATCAAGCAGTTACATGCTTTAAAAATAATAAAAAATTATAACTATAATTGCTATTTCTTCTTTCAAATGTTTAATACTTGTAAAAGTATACATTTGACATTGTGGGTTTACCTATAATGCGAAGAGATGGCGCTGCCTTGCAGCTTAAGAATAGCTAGAAAGAATTTCGACGCGGTCCGTGAGGGCCGCGGTAGCATAATTGGTCAGTGCATTCGCCCGGATTGCGAAGGGTGCAGGTTCGAGTCCCGTCTGCTGCCTGGTCCGCGTGGAATTTTTTCTAGTTATATTTTCTTTAGATTTAAACATCAAGCAGTTACATGCTTTAAAAATAATAAAAAATTATAACATCACATCAGCTTATTATTTATTATATATTTTATTTAAATATATATTTCACCGAAAAGCCCTTTAATACAGTTTATTATTGTTTGATGTAGAATTACTTCGGGCTGTTTGGCTTTGGGATTTGGATTTGGGGGCTTTTTCTCAAAATTTCAAAAAAGTTTCGTGAATAGTAGACAATTTCCTAATTTATAAGACAGCAAAATTATCAAACTTGATACGGAATGCCATTTGATTACAATCGTCAAACATTTCATTGAAAACTAAGAAGCGCAATAAACTCTCCACTGAATCAATTATTGGTCTTCTCCACACAAAAAGATGTATTGAAGGTAATCAACCTTGTTATAATTTTAATATTCAGGTCAATTTCAAATTAATTGATATTTATATTCAGTTCAACCATAATTACCTTACTTTTCGACTCGAGTTTTTATACTTATGTTTTTATTTATTTTTTTAAGCATTTAACCTTACATTTAACTGCTAGATGTTTCGGAAACGAATAGAACTCTAGAAAAAAAATATTGAAATTTAATATTTTTGTACGTTGAAGTCACAGACTAGTTAGAGATACTACGTATTAGTTACTAGTTAGAGATACTACGGTTGAAGTCAATTTTAACAGCCATTTAGATCAGTGCTGCCATTTTTTCATGCAGAAATAACATGTTTCTAGTTATCTGTGGTAAAAAATATGTTTATTATGTTGGTACTATTGTCAAAATGACAGATGTCCCGCCGTTTTGTGTTTGTTTTGAGAATAAAATGTTGCCATACCTTTTTCAGATTTATTACCCAAACTAAAACTTTTGTTAAAACAAGATTGGTTGATTAATTGGCATCAAACGCTAGTAATAAAAGGAAAATGGTATCATAAAATTAATAATGTAATTGGTCAACATCCATGGTTTACAAAATCTAAAGAATACCATAGTCGGAAATTTTATACGACCATCACACGCTTGAGAATTGGACATGGACGTTTTAATTCACATTTATATAGAATGAATATAATTACATCTCCGTTATGCACAAACTGTAATTTAAATAAAGATCAAACACTAAACCATATATTTTTTGAATGTACAGCATATAATATACAAAGACTTGTTTTAGCTGACAATTTAATTAAATTATATAAAACTAATAATGAAATCCCGCGCGACATTCAAGACATTGTTATGAATCCAAAATCATACAAATATCTATATATTTTTTTAGTTTCCATAGATATGGAACTTTAAAAAATTTCATGACTTTAAACAAATAAGATTGAAAGAAAGAAGATTCAAATTGAAAGAAGATTCAAAATCGGATTTGAAAATTTGGGGGAAACAATAAGTACCTAAACTGAAAATGGATTAGAAAGACTATTTAGGACAAATATCTTATGATCAAAGAAGTGGCTTCGGCCTTATAGAAAAAAGAAACAAAAAAAAAATCCTTTAAATGAAGACTATGGCTGCATGGCTCTGCCTTTGCGTGGTCTTGGTCTGCCCTACCCCTAGGCCGTTTGTCCATCGCCGCCGTCACCGTCACGTCACCGAGAACGAGATTATTTCGGGCCGAGTTTAATATGACTTGACGGTTTGTCCACCGCGACCGATGGTTTAGTTTGTTCCAACTGTCATGCGTGGTAGTCGCGTTTTCGAAGAAATAAAGTGATGGCTAGGTTAAACCGGCGACAACTTCTTCTCCTGCTTTTGTACCTTCGAACGCGCAGGCGATGCAAAGAATTTTGGGTTCATCCACTAATACGTGAACGATACATCACAGTGGCGTTTTATGTACACCACGCCAAGTTGCGGCAGCATGACGAGAAGTTTTTTTAATGAATAAATATCGTATTTAAATTTTATGGCCATTTTTTATTACAATGTTATATTATGATAATTGATGACAGACAACTGAACTGAGCTCGTGTACGGTGCGACGGCGACGGCAGTGAGTGGACAAGTTCATACGTGTTTTGTATTGCCGGCACATCGGCCCGTCAAATTCTCGGGCCACGTTCTAGCGGTCACGCCGATCTACTCGCAATTTCGCCGGCCGGGATGACAGCGCTCGGGTGACGGACGTGCGGTGGATACGCGGCTTAAGTAAATGTATGTACCGCTACTTCAGCGCCGTCATCTCGTTCTCGGTGACGTGACGGTGACGGCGGCGGCGGCGGTGGACAAACAGCCCTAGAGTGTTTTTAGAGACCGGAGGCGCGTAGGGAGAGGCGTCTGAGGCTGGTCGCCGCCGGAGGTGGCGACCAACAAGCCAAAGGTGTGAATGGGAGTGATGATTGTGGCTCTGTCACGCAAAGGCGGAGGGGCTGCTATTCCCGCAGCGCCGGAGATAAGGCAGAAGTACTGGTTCTTACTTCCCTAGTCCTTGCATCCAAAAAAATTATGAATTTTTAGGTTAGGTTAATTAAAAAAAAACATGCATTCCCGTCTCAAATCTTTAGTAGGGGGGGAGTCGGGGAGACCCCCTCCTCTCCCCCACATCAAAAGTACCCCGAAATTCCACCACAACTAATGGAATTTAGTACCAATCTAAAGAAAAGTTTTACTAGAAAAAAATCCACACGGACCAGGCAGCGGACGGGACCCGAACCCGCACCCTTCGCTCTCCGGGCGAATGCACTGACCATTATACTACCACGGCCCTATTCGCCGCGTCGAAATTTTCCTAGCTTTAAGATGCAAGGCTTTTCTAGGCAATTCAAGAAATTAGTGCTATAAAAGGTAGTGAATTAATAAGTTAAAGCCATAGAAATGCATGTGAATGTGTTGAGAAATCCATTTAGTAAGTCATTGCGTGGGAATTGAGAGGTAAAATGTTTGTTTACTTTTAGTCCAAATAGGTTTGGATTGGAACAGATATTAGAGTGTACAGAAATTATAAAAAACCACAAACTTATAGAACTTACTTCAGTCTAAAAAGAACATGAAACATTAATTGACAAACCAAATTTTTTATCTATCTATTCCTAACATGTCAAACTAAATTCAAATCAAAGTATGCTGCCTGTACAAAAAAGGTTCCACGACACTCACTTTATTTTTATTGTTCATTTTCAAGTTTTTTCATCGTTTCCTACTTTTTACCATCTGCAAACATCAAATATTCAAATATCAACTATCCATATTTCGCTCCTTTAATCGATTAAGTTAAATCGGTTTGCTACCCAATTTCATCAAATGAAGCTTGCAATGGCAACATTAGCCGTCATGCCATAATAGAAGCAGAAGATAGCGATGCGCGACTACGAATGATTTTACCTTTCGACTAGCTACTAATTTGGTTATTCGAAAGGCAAATTAGTATTATACTAATGTCATTATTCGAATAACGACTACTAATTAGTAATACTAATGTCTTTACAAGAGCGCAACGGATAAGGTTAGGTTATTTATTCGTTCGTTTATTATTTGCCTTAGTTCAGTTAGTTTCCGTACGTTCGTACTTGGCGCCTGCTACGATAGTCTTGTATCTGTCATTAATTATTATTTTTGCAGTGAAAACTGTATTTACCAGCGAATTTGTTTATTATTACTATTACTATTATTATTATAAATAATTTAAGTGAGTTCATATATCGACCTAATCATTAAAAAACGATTGAAAGTAGTACCCTATTGACTCTAGCGGTGGACGTTTAAACGAAAAGCGCTTAAATGAGCGCGCTTAAAATATTAAGCTTGTAAGCACGCTTTAAAGTATAAGCGTTATAAGCTTTTCACTTAAAAAGTGTGAGTAAGCTTTTCACTTAAAAAAGTGCAAGTATATTTTATACTTAAAAAGTGCAAATCCCGCCATCTGTGTCTTTGCCAGGAAACTACATACTTCGATCCTTCTAGTCCACTACAGTATCGAAAAATGGGTACGCGGAATTCCTTGGGACTAAATATTTCACAATATCACAGACATAGAACATCATCTTTCGTGAGCCGGTTAATACAGCATGCGAATTATTATAATGCGACGTAAAAAAAAGGACTTTTTTAAAATTTAGTCGGATAACCAACGCTTTTTTCGTTAAAAGCGTTTAATTAAACGAAGTCGAAAAGCAGTACGCTTGTTAATAATGCGACGTAAAAAAAAGGACTTTTTTAAAATTTAGTCGGATAACCAACGCTTTTTTCGTTAAAAGCGTTTAATTAAACGAAGTCGAAAAGCAGTACGCTTGTAACTGTGACGGGGTAAGAGCACGTGGGTGTTGTACGGTGTGTTTGCATTCTTGCTTGTAATGCGTTTCGTGTATTGGCTTAATGTGCATATAAAATAGTTAAAAGTATGTATATAAAATCAATGAACTTTTAAGTACGCCTGGATCACGAGTATATTAACTCCAGACAGTCCTAAGCTTGTAAAGTTCGAAGGAAAGTTCATTGACTATTATAAAAATGTTTATTATAAAATCTAAATTCAATTGAAAATCTTTCGTTTTTAATGCCAATCAATTCATTAGGTTTAAAAAAACTTTTTAATAAAAATTTCATTAATAAGAAGAAAAAACGCAATAAAACACTTAAACACATTAAAAACGACAATAAACTTTTCACGCTTTTTTAAACGATATACCTAAACGAAAACACAACACAACGTCGCGCTTTTTACGCATGCTTTTAAACGTTTAAGCCAATAAGCGTTTAAACGAAAAGCTTTTTTTCAAGCGCGCATATTTTAAAAAGTACAACGTTTAAACGCTTTTAAGAAATAAGCCGTTTTTTCCATCTCTAATTGACTCTGCTCATCACTTTCACTCGTAGGCCGTATACAGAAAGAAAGCCGAAAGCCGATCGGCGCCGATCAGCGCCGATCGGCGCTTATCGGCGCCTATCGGCGCTGATCCTTTTTCTATGGACCAGCGCCGATCGGCGCCGATAAGCGTCGATAAGCGCCGATCGGCGCCGATCGGCGCCGACTCGCGCTGGTCAGCTGCAATTTTAAATTAATAAACAACGACAACAGGTACGTCAATTACTACACGCAATTATTTTTTAAGTAGAAAAATGGATAATGACATTTTGATATCCTTAGTATTCACTAAACAACCTCTGTGGGACAAAACCGACAAAAGGCACTGTAATAGATACGTGGTTGACAAATGTTGGAAAGAAATAAGCGAGGCCATGAATGAAGACGGTGAGTAGGTATTAATTGATTTTGTTTTAGTTTGTCGACTTACATAAAGTTAGTGAACATTTAAATCGGTTAAGTATTACAACTTCTTTATTTAAATATTACCTATGTCTTAAGAGCCCTTCAACGATATTAAATACCCTAGATACAACCTCACGAACAAAATCGTGGCCGAAACCTGTCTAATAGGTACATTGGACGATCCACGGAACTAAGCACGGAGTAAATTGATCGCGTAGTGAAAAACAATATAAGGCATTATTTAATCATTGAAAGTCACCTTTAATGCATACTTTTTAAGGTCTTAATTAAAAAGTATGCGTCAGAGTTATGACAGTTCAAAATGCAAGCAAGGTAGAATTTTACGAATTTATTGCTATATGCGGAAGAATATACACCTTATTCATTTGATTTTACGCGCCGTTCTGAATGCGCTATTCGCAATGTAACAGATACGGACCGTGAGGAAAAGAGACAGCTATATTACCGACCATGCATTTCAATATCACAAATATTTTCTATTAAATCAGTTTATAGTAAGTATTAGAACAAAATTTGCTTCCAATGTGTTAAATTAACAAACGTTTATTAGATACCTGTCGAGAAAATGACACTTTAGTATTTATTTCGCATTTTTTCACGGAGCTCTGCGAAATCTCGACTGTCCAACGGTCCGCGCGGGGTTTAAACGCCGTGTTTCATGGTGTCGCCGACTCGAGAGGTCCCGGGTTCGAATCCCGGTGAGGACAGATGTTTATGTAATGAATATGAGCATATGTACTCCAGTCATGGATGTTTAATATTTATTTCTATATAAATATACTTATCGATGTAACACAAGCCTGATAGTGCTTACTTTGGGGCTAGGCTAATTGGTGTGAGTGTTGGAAATATTTATTTAGTATATCCAGCCGGTTTACGATAAATGCACTCGAAGAATTTGTGACGCGTGCGACATAAAATGTCATCATAGATACCTCGAAGGGCGTTGGCGCCGTACTGATCGGCGGATTGTCGAATTATAAATAATTTGTATTTGAATTATTATCCTTAATCAATTCTTTAACAAATAAATGATGGTATTCTCCGAAACGTTTCCTTTCTCTATTTATAGGATGTATACCTGTTTTTCGCATTTTTAAATAAACATTTCCTAACAAAACCAAATCATCGTCCGATGAGTCCGACATTTTGCTTGATCTGCTTTAATCGGCTTCCTTTATGTAGGAAGAATCGGCGCCGATAAGCGCCGATCGGCGCCGATCGGCGCCGATCGGCTTTCGGCTTTCTTTCTGTATACGGCCGTAGAGTTCGCCCGACCAAGTCCGAGTCGACCCGGTTTGTTCTCTTCGTCACGTCCGTCAGTTGAGAGTCGGTTAGTCGCCGACCGATACCTTCGACTCCAGTCGAATGATATTAAGGGCGCAGTCGACTTGGTCGAATGATTCGTGGAGTCGAATGATTAGTATTAATCGTAATCGCTCATCGCTAGCAGAAGATTTTCAATTTTAAAATTTTTATTGGTTTGCTGAAGATGAATGTATAAAGTGTAGCAGAACGAATTCATACAATTTTTTGTATAGATAATGTGTTGTTACTAAGTACTACTCATTAACATTTCACCAATGTTGATAAAAATGCTACCAGGCCAATGCTCAAAACAAAAGAATCCTTTAGTTTTCTTAGATATCACAATCGATGGGGAAAGTGGTGAGTTTACAGTTTGTTTTAAATAAATTGTATTAAAAATACAAAATATTTCCATGTATAATATTCAAGGACATTTCAGAACCTAGCTGAAGGTAAATAAATCATCGAAAAATATCCTTTCATTGTTTTCCTTACATTTCTTTTTTAGTATTATTTTCGGCAAATACATTGTACTTATTAATATTCTCAGATATACTTACTATGCTATATATTTTTTTATTTAACAAAAAATTATCTTTATTTTCTAGCTGGTCGTATAATAATAGAATTGAGAAAAGATGTGGTGCCCAAAACTGCAGAGAACTTTAGAGCTCTATGTACGGGTGAAAAAGGCACTTCCACTGACGGTAAACCGTTGCATTTCAAGGGAGTAAGGTTCCATAGAGGTAAGTTGTTAAATTCCTTGAAAAAAATTTAAAATACAATGTCAATATAAAATAAATTGAGAATCAAAGTTAAGGTCTCGGAGATTGCCACAGATACAAATCAAGAGTTCATAAGAATTAATTAGATAGTTATTAGCATTATCATGCAAAAACTTTTCATTTTACTCTCCCTGAATGTAATAATGTTTAGCTATTTATTCCATACTAAGAGACTTTTTTTTCTTGTTGGAATATGCCTAATTATTGTTAATTCTCTACAAATCTGAATGTAGTAAAATGTCAAAGGAAGAAATAATTATTATTAACCTATGATTAACTTAAATTGACTCTTCTCATTCCAGTTTGTTATAAGCCCAATAACATTTGTTTAGCATTAATAATGCATATTGAAATAACTGCTAACTGACCTTACTCAACTTGATAAACAGTGAGTAGTGTATAAATAATACAGATACCATGTCAGCTAATTAATTATGATAAATTTCTTTGTGTGTTATTCTGTAAATACATATTGATTTCCTTAGTTTGAGGATTAAATTGAATTTGTCAATTATGATATCATATCCCACACACACATCAATGTTTTGAATTTAAAAATCTTATCTGAACTGGATGCTAAATATTTATCTTACATAAACTTGGCTACTGTAAATGGGGATTAAATCAAAGCAATAGCCAAGTGAGAAAATCAAACACTCAATCCTTGGCAGCATTTAACATAAACATTTAGCGGTATCATGTTGAGGAGGAGGTGATTTTAATAGTTTTTTATGTGTACCCAATATTAATTTACTCAAATATGACCATTATATTGAGAGGGTAGTAAAAAACTGCTAATACCTGTTTTTGACAAGCTCTTAAATATTTTTATATAAAAAAACTAGCTGACCCAGCGAACTTCGCACTGCCATAAAAATAGGGGCAGGTGGTAGCAGAGAAAATTTAGGGTTGTATGTATTTTTTAATACCACATTAATAAAATAAAATAAATAAAATAAAATAGCCTTTATTTCAGAACTTTCTTAACATAACATTGATTATATATTTTACAATAAGTCACGCAGTTCTGTGTGCCTTTTGGCAAAGGCCTCCTCTAACCAACGCCATTCAGCTCTGTCAGCTGCAACTCTTGTCCAATACGGACCCAGAGTACAGCTGATTTCATCCTCCCATCTTCTAAACTGGCGTTCTCTCCTACGCTTTCCATCTCTAGGATACCAGACTGTCACTCGCTTGCTCCATTTGTACCTCTCAGCAAGTGGCCCGTCCACCTCCATTTTTGTTTGTCCACTCTAGATAGAATGTCTGTTATTTGCGTTTTAGATCTTAGATCCTCACTTCTTATTCTATCCCTTAGACTTACTTCTGACATACTTCTCTCCATAGCCCGTTGACAATGAGTCAGCTTATCCCTTAGCTGCGTCGTTAAAGACCAAGATTCAGAACCGTAGGTCAGACACGGTAAAATACAGGTATCGAAGGCTCTCCTTTTAATGTGGATCCACATTATAAATATTATCCAAAAAAAATTTTAGGGGTGTGTAACGTAGTGTTCTGTCAATTTCCTGGGATAGCATTCTTCCTAACCCATAAGAGAACACTATGTTACAATACCCAATAGTTTGAATTTTGGGGCGAAAGCGCATTGTAGGTTTCAGAACACTACGTTACAGGTGGACAACCATTATCAATTAAGGATATGAAAAATAGATAGTATTCTAGTAGAATCAAATGTGGATTACCACAGCATGCTCATGAGCATGATTCACAATTAATTGATGTCGACATTTTCTCTAATTCTCTTAAATATTTCCAAAATAATGTAAAAAAAATACTAGATTTGACGTAGGTATTTGCTGGTGACTGTAAATGTAAATGTTTATTATGTTTAATTTTGATTATTATAACATCAATTTCCATTAATTTACAATATTTTATGACATTTTACCGAATAATGATATAATTTTAATGAAATGTTTTTAATTTTAGTATATTTTTTTTTTATATTTTACTACTAACTATTTCACATCAATAGAAGATTTTTAAATAGTGTGATTTTGTTATGCGATATTTTTGCTTATCAGTGCTATTATGTAACATCTATAATTAAGATTGCACTTAGTTCGCTTCCACATTGTTTGTAAGTTGCTTTATAATGTGTTGGTGTTAATTTTGTTGATGTTAATAAATAAATAAATAGTAGCAGACCCACGGAATATGCATACAAAATTTCATAAAAGTTGGCCAGGCCGTAAAGGAGGAGTATTGTAAATAACATTGTGACACGAGAATTTTATATATAAGATCAAATACACAATAATTCTAGTTAAATAAGTGAAGAATAGTGTGTGCTGATAGTCAGTAGTATCTAACAGCTGTTATCTCCTCTCCAATACATTTGGTAATTTGACAAAACTGCACTTTATATTATACATTAAACACTCACTGCAGAATGGATAACATTAAGAGCACTATTGAGTCTCTGGCGCAAACATTCTCTGAGCATATGACGGCATTTGAAAATGGGCTCAAAAGGACAAGTGCACCGCTGGAACCATCAGTCTCGGGTTTATCAGAGGACTTTGAAGCCTTTCGAGCCTTCGTAATTGCGACTTTCAAGCACCTCGAGAACAAGTCATAATGCTGTCTATGGAGTGTGACAGCATGGAGATGCGGAGTCGACGTGGCATGCTGCTTCTACATGGTGTTCCGGAACACAAAAGATGAGGTTTGCTCCGAGGTCTTTTTGAAGGTGGCATCTCAGCATTTGGTGGCGACGCAGCTTGAGACAGGCGATTTAGTCAGAGCCATTCGCCTCGGTCGTGTTCGACATGACAAGCCACGACCTCTTCTTGTCAAGTTTAGATCTGAGGATGTCTGGGACGACTTAAGGGTTCAGGCATCACTATGTCGGAGTTCCTCACGAAGCTTCGGCATGGAATCTTTATGGCTTTTAACTGATCCGTAATGACCGTGTGAGTTCTTCCCATGGAGGGGTGGCTATATATTTGCGTTCTCACTTACATTTTTCTATTGTAAGTAGATCTCCTCAGGCCCCACCCCCCAACAGCGCCGAGCATCTCTTCGTTGAAGTAACTCTGTCCCATACTTAAATCCTCTTATGTGTATTTAATAGTCCCTCACTTCGCATCGACTACTTTGAGTCTTTCGAAAATCTCCTCGAAAAATTCGTCCCCTCTTATACTCACACCATAATAATGGGTGACTTCAATACATGTCTTATTAAAGATAACTTTCGCTCAACAAAACTTCGTTCAGTAGTTAACTCTTTTAATTTGCTTGTCCTTCCTCTAAGCGAAACGCATCATTTTCCTCATTGTACGCCCTCTTTACTTGATCTTATGATTGTCTCCTCTCCGTCCTTCGCTATTAAGCATGGTCAACATTCTGCAGACGCCTTTTCATATCACAACCTGGTGTACCTGTCTTATCGGATTTGTTCTCCCAAGATTAAACCTACAGTGCAACTTCAGGGTAGCTTTGCGCGTATAGAACATGACAAACTGCTTAAAGATGCTGCTAATACGGACTGGTCGGCAATATTTGCTACTAGTTGTGTAGATGAACAAGTGCAACTTTTTAATAAGCTTCTGTCTAATTTATATGATATTGATGCTCCAATTCGACCCATTAAAATTAAATCTTTACCTGCTCCTTGGCTTACTGAGGAGTTCCGACGGTTGATGAATAAAAAAAACAGGGCAAAGGCAAAGTTCAAACTTGATCCTTCAAATAATAATGAGTCCAAATACAATCATGCTAGAAACCGGTGCAACACCATGGTTAGGGACGTACAAAGACGCCACATTCACAATTCAGTGGAAAATGAAGACCCCGGGAAGGTTTGGAGATTCCTGATATCAATGGGAGTTGGCAAGTCACATAAGTCCAATTCCTGTAACAATCTCAATGTCGATCAACATAATACTTAATTTTCCTCTACTATCTCCATGGATGAGAACCGTAAGCGATTAACCTTACGTTATCTTTCTAGTCTGTCAACTCTTGATCCTCCCTTTGTCATACATCAATTTGCGGAATGTGATGTTAAGAGAACTATGTTGTCCATTAACTCCAGTGTGGTAGGCAGTGATGATTGCCGCAAAATGATCCTTCCTTGCCTCCAACTCAGTCGACTTTGACATCCCTGTAGGCATTTTAGGTTCACTTAGCATATCTCCATCCGCAATTGAGTGGTTTCGAAGTTACCTGCTAGGCCGCCGGCAGCGTATCCGTATTGATAACACCTTGTCTTCTTGGTGTGATATCATTGCCGGTGTTCCTCAGGGTGGCGTACTATCTCCTCTCCTATTTTATATCTTTATAAATTCTATCACACTGTCGCTTTCATGTTCATATCACCTTTATGCTGATGACCTCCAAATATACACTCAGGCCCCTTTATCTGACCTCTCTAAAGCAATTTCGATTAACAACGCAAATTTGTCGCTTGCAAGTAGTTGGAGTGAGTCATTTGGTCTAACCTTAAACCCTGAAAAGACTCAATCGATCATAATTGGTAGTCTTTATTTTATTTCTAGGATCAACTTTAATCAATGGCCTACTATTATTTTGAATGGTTCTATTATTCCCTACTCAGAAACCGCCGGAAACCTGGGTGTTGTCTTTGACCAGAGTTTCTCCTGGAAACCGCATGTGGAGGCAGTTAGAAAAAAGGTGTTTGCTGCGTATGGTTCTTTTAGCCGCTTGCGTAACTTTTTTATCAGCACCAAAATCAACTTGGCAAATTCTCTCTTGCTGTCTATCATCGACTACGCTGACGTTCGCTACACTGATCTTTCGGAGGAACTTCTCAATAAATTAGAGCGACTGCAAAATGTTTGTATCAGGTTCATTTATAATCTCCGAACATTCGACCACGTGTCTCACTTCCGTAGTAAACTCTATTGGCTCCCTATTCGCCGGCGCAGGGATTTACGCACTCTCACGGTCCTCTATTCTATACTTTTCCTGCCATCTTCTCCGCCTTATCTTAAGCAGTGTTTCTCTTTTCTATCCTCTTCTTCTCAGCTCTCGCTGCGATCCTTCTTCTTGAAATTCCCTGTCACTCTTCTGACTTCTTTTCTTATTCCTTTTCTGTGCACGCTGCTCGGCTGTGGAATTCTCTCCCTGAAGGAATCAGAAAGGCTCGTTCACTTAATTCCTTTAGCGATCAAGTTAAAAGCTATTTCCTTTCCGTTTCTTAAATTCATTTAGCAAACCATTTCTTTGCTTCTCTTGAATATTTATGTAAGGATTATCTTCCTGTATTTACTTTTGAACCCTTCTATATTTATCTATATTATTATTCCTCTTCCACCATAGGTTGCCTGGAAGAGATTGCTGTTTAGCAATAAGGCCGCCTATTGTACTCTTTCTTCTGTTTATTTGTTTATGTCTTGTGTCCTTTGTTGGGTGCACTAAAGAATATTTATTATTATTATTATTATACTCTCATTTATTTCATTTCACAGTAAGGTTTTTTATAAAATAGATATAAAAGTAAAATACAAAAATAAATATAATATAAAAAACCTAACCTAGAAGGCCACTAGCTAGGCCCAAGCTACCGGTGGTTAGGGCCGCAGAGAAAGAAACCGCCTGACGATGCGCGCTGTGTCCAGGAGTACTGCCTTTTGCATCTGCCCCTTGACCCAACCATTTAGCGCGAGACTCTTTAGATGTTGGTCGAGACTCTTCTACGCTATGAGACCGTTCACACTAACGACTATAGGGACAATGATCGTCGAATCCACATCCCACAAAGCGGTTACCTCGTGGGCCAAGTCCAGGTACTTGCTGAGCTTGTCCTTCTCGGCCTTCACGAGCTTCTCCTCATGCGGGATGGTGATATCGATGAGCACTGCCTGGCGTTTCAATCGATCTGTCAATACGATATCAGGCCTATTGGCAACAATAGTCCGTAATGACAGACCGATCCCAATAGAGCGTTGCACAACCATTTTCGAGAACTGGTGCCGGTGTGTACTTATAGTATGGGACCTTGGATCCTACAAGGTCGTATTGAATAGCAAGTTGCTGGTGAATAATTCTAGCTACAAGATTATGTCTGTGCAAATACTCGCTGTTGGTCAGATGAGAACAACCAGAGACAATATTATTATTATATTGAACAATTTAATATTAATTAAAAAATATTTATTGTCAAATACTGCTTACCATAATTTTATTAAATGCAACTTATATGATGTTTACTGTTGATTTATTTAAGTACATGGACTAAATACATGATCGAAGCACAAATATTAAAATAAAAAATGCAATAAAAAAATATCTTTGCAGTTAAAATACCTTTTGTTTTTAACATTGTTACAGCTGTTCCACAGTTTATGGTTCAAAGTGGAGATATAATAAATGGCGATGGGACAGGGGGTGAGAGTATTTATGGACCCTCATTTGAAGATGAAAATTTTATATTGAAGGTATGATTTAAGTAGGGAATTCTCAATACGCCTTTTTACCGATGCTCTTATAAAGATATAGGGCAAGCAAAACGAAACAGTTCAAAACTATAACAGTTCTTCTGTTTTGAAGTTGACATGACCCTTATTTATTTGTTTCAAAGAATAGTTTCAAATACATGCACGAACGAATTTAGATCTTAATTTTATTTGCATGAAAAAATACTACGCGTGAAAACCTAGCGAAATGGGATAGTTTAGAGAGTCTAAAGCAGATGGGCGAAACAAGATGCTGAATAATAAATAAAGCGGAGGTTTCCCCAACCACGGTATGACATGCTGCGTTCGGTTAGTGGAAAGCAGTGTGCTACATAGAACATAGTTTGTGCCTCGTATGAAGATGAAATATATGAGGGACAACAGGCACGTTTACATAACATTGTAAAGGTGCGAAATTTTCAAAGTATCATTCAATCAGTCATAAATATATTAACAAACCAGATGTATGGCCGATATATCGGTATCGGATGCATCACTAACCTCTCAAAACACGTAGCGTGTAATTTTAAACTCCTATCATAACTGTCATGACGATGAGTCATCGACATAATGGCGTCACAAGTACCGCCTTCGAAAAAGAAAATTACGCTGTAGCCAAACCATTTATTATCATTGCGTAAACGCGAGTTTACTTTATGATAAATTTTCTTTCAGTCACGTACAAAAATGAAGGCAATCATCAATACATTTTATTTTTTGAGATGCCTAAAGTTTACACTTCGTTACGCACTTTACGATTCAAAATAAACGCAAATTCGGGTAGATTTTCCAGAAACAGCTGTCTAATTATGTAAACAACTTAATGAAAGTCCCATTGTTCATAACACAAAAACACTTCAAACCCGACCCAACGAACAAACAACAAAGTAGTGCACATCCCTTTCCCTATTTTGTTGTTTGTTCGTTGGATTCAGTTTTATAGCTTTATCGAAAGTTGTTCTGTTATTAATAAATAAAAACTAAATTTTTTACTGTTTAGAATTATTTTTGATTTAAAAAGTAATTATTTCCTGGTTTTTAAAATAAAACTAACCTAACCTAACACAGTGGAAAAAAGTTTGTCTTCACGTTGTTCTTTAGGTTTTTTTATTAGTAAGATACCCAAAACATACAGTTTTTACTGCTAAATTGAAAGTACCTTTTTTAAGAATAGCTTAAATCAATAGAAAGAATCAAGTTTGTTCTCTCATTCTTAAGCTCTTTTTATTGATACAATACTCAAAACGAACTTAGAATTTATTGCTAAATCGAAAGTATCTTCTGCTGAATCATTCATTTGCTGCTCCTGATCCTCTTATCTTCATACAGCAGCCACGAAGACATACTCTAAAAAGAAAGTTACTTAACCATTTTAATCATTTTAACAGCACGAATTAATTTTATTTTGTTATATGTAAAACTATCACACTAAAACAGTTATAATAAATTAGCCAAACATAAATCCTAAAATGCGTAGTGGTGGCAATTTCCGTCGATCTATCGACAATTCATAATTTTCATGTTGTAACTATCGATACGTTCCATATCTATTTAATACGCGTACGAAAAGAGGTTCAAATCGACTGCAAGTAGACTACTCCCGTAACAACGTAAAAACACGAGTCAAAATGGCTTGCTAGGAATTGACGGACGATACGCCATGTTTTATCCTTGTTCACAGGAATTCTGTTATCTTCACTAACAATATTATTAGCGATGTAAAAACTAACTGTAAACGAGTTTCAATTGCTTATTGTAAATATTTCTTTGTATTTACGAAACACAATCGTCACAAATCACTTGAAAACAAGCTAACAAAGTTTGTCAGATTCGAACTTCAAAATTATTATTAGGGGAGAGGGAGGCACATTAGCATATTTTTCGTATTTGGACTCATAAAAAATCAAATGTAAAGAGAAATTGAAAAAACATAGTTTTCTTAGCTTACTTACGCCTTTGTTAATATAAAAACGATGATATGTTTGAATTTGCTCAAAACGTTAAAGAGAAATAATTTGTTTTTTTTAAACACAAATTTGTTCAAATCTGCCTCCCCAGGGGGTCACATTTGAATCGACATGGGGCAGTTTTGAAGAATGGGTTAAAAACCAGAATAAAGAGAGGATAGAGTAATAATTTGTTTTTATTATAATGATATTTATTGTAGTAAAATATAAAATAAACTTATACGAAACTTCTAAAGTTACATTTTGCATTACAATAACAAAAATAAAAATAGTATTTTCATTGTGTTGGATTTCCTCCTTGTTAACAGAAGTAATCATATTGCACAAGAGTTTTAGTTCATTGTTTTTATTATTATATAATACTGCTGCAGACGAAAAATTTAACATAAAATAAACTTAATATCAAATTTGTAAGAAAACATATGAAATTTGTATTTGAACGTCCCGTTCCAATCTGCTCCGTTTGCTTTGTAAAAATCTGCCCCACGGTTACTTGGAAACTAAAATATTACAAAAAAATAATGTGAAATAACTGGCAAGCAAAAACAACAAGGTGGGTTGAAAACTAATAAGGACTAGAGATGGAAAAAACGCCTTATTTCTTAAAAGCGCTTAAACGTTGTACTTTTTAAAATAAGCGCGCTTGAAAAAAAGCTTTTTCGTTTAAACGCTTATTGGCTTAAACGTTCAAAAGCATGCGTAAAAAGCGCGACGTTGTGTTGTGTTTTCGTTTAGGTATATCGTTTAAAAAAGCGTGAAAAGTTTATTATCGTTTTTAATGTGTTTAAGTGTTTTATTGCGTTTTTTCTTCGTACTAATGAAATTTTTATTAAAAAGTCAATGAACTTTCTTTCGTACTTTACAAACTTAGGACTGTCTGGAGTTAATATACTCGTGAACCAGGCGTACTTAAAAGTTCATTGCTTTTATATACATACTTTTAACTATTTTATATGCACATTAAACCAATACACGAAACGCATTAACACAAGCAAGCATGCAAACACACCCTACAACACCCACGCGCTCTTAACCCGACACAGTGACAAGCGTACTGCTTTTCGACTTCGTTTAATTAAACGCTTTTAACGAAAAAAGCGTTGGTTATTCGACCAAACTTTAAAAAAGTGCATTTTTTTTACGTCGCATTATAATAATTCGCATGCTGTATTAACCGGCTCACGAAAGATGGCACGCCGACGCGGCGCTGTAGTCGCGCGTTCTATGGCTGTGATGCTGTCAAATATTTAGTTCCAAGGAATTCCGCGTACCCATTTTTCGATACTGTAGTGGACTAGAAGGATTGAAGTATGTAGTTTCCTGGCAAAGACATAGATGGCGGGATTTGCACTTTTTAAGTAAAAAATATACTTGCACTTTTTTAAGTGAAAAGCTTACTCACACTTTTAAGTGAAAAGCTTATAACGCTTATACTTAAAAGCGTGCTTACAAGCTAAATATTTTAAGCGCGCTTAATTAAGCGCTTTTCGTTTAAACGCCCACCGCTAATAAGGACTGCACAATTTTGTGAATGAATTAGTTGGAATCTTTTACTCACGTGGTAGTAAATCCCTTACAACATTTATTTTTATTTTTTACTTCATCGGTACAAATACGATGACAGCTTATAAATCTTTTTGAAAACGACACGCGCGCGCTTTGTTACTTGACGTTTGTCACAGCCAGTGCTGCTAATATTAAAATGTAGTTACGGCATAAATTAACTTAAAGATACGTTCAGAAATCAACATGTTCAAATCTGCCCTTGTGCTAAGGTGCCTCCTTCTAATATTATTACAAAATATTTCATTCACCCAATAACCTATAAAGGTATAATAAAGCAGAATAACACATTTTGTAAAACATTTGTTTTAAAAATATGCACTTACCTTGAAAAAAAAAGAAAAATTACACACAAGTAACCTCAATTCGACCAAAAAATTCACTTTTACAATGCCGCGAAAACAAAAACTACACAGGGTAGGCGAAAACTTTTCGGTTCTGGAGATAGGAAAGGAGATTGCTCAAATTGGCCCAAATGCACAAAAAATATTGACATACACGGTAATTCTTGCCCTAATTTATAATTTAATTTACAGTCATTAGATTTCAACGGACACCTTTGTATAATATATTTACTTTAAAAAGGACTTTTAATTTTACCCGTTTGGAAAACATACAAATTATTTTTAATGGCTATGGGTGTAGTGACATTAAGCCAAAGACTGATCGAAGTTGTTTATATAACATAAAAACAAATCTATTTTGTAAAGATCGATAAAATAAATCATTTTTTTTATTACGCTGTGGTATTAATATCCACAGCTATATTATCATTTTCACTAGATGCAAATGTGCTCAGACAATTATTATAGATGGTAGGCGACATCATAAAGTCTATTGCCATACATTTTTCGCCAAATACCTCCCTATACACATTATAATCTATATATATGTTAGACTTTAAGGTATCTATCTATGGGCCTACGTTCCCGGACTATAAATTAATAAATAAATAAAATTATAAGGTGTGATACACTAAAAATCTAAAATATGGTTATCTTAAAAACATAACAAAAATAATGAAGCTACTGAATATATGGCTATAGAACCTAAATCTCTTAGCTTTCTTTGGTTAACGAGAGTTAAAAATTCTCTCTAATCTGTGGCTCATTCACAACCATCACACAGTTTCTGTCACAGAGTACCTTGTTATAACCGGAAATGACACCTGATTTTAAAAGTTACTCTTATGCATTAACTTTAAAAACAGGCAACTATCTGTTAATCTAAATGCTCTATATACCTGAATCTAATCCATAATTTCGGTACTTGGCTTGATTTCCTTAGTTTTTATAGAAGTTCTCAGGGGTGTCCGTCAATAATGTTCATTTCTACAGTAATTTATATATAATTTCGAATATGAGAAACAATTTTTCATGATTATTGGTCTTTAGGCCAAACATGAATGGAAGCTGAGCAATCTCCTTTATCCTAGTTAGTTTATGGTTAAACTTCTTCGTACAAAAGTCGACTCTAATCATCTCTAAAAACGATTTATAGTCCCGTGAGTAGTGCGGCCCACAAGGGCCTTTATTGTTTGGCGGTGTTTTTCGGAGCGCGGCCCATTAGGGCCGCTTAGTGGTGAATGATAAGTTTCATTAATTCAAAACAATGGTGTGATAAGAATTCTTACCCATTATATTGTTTTAAACTTTCATGGTCACTAACATTATAGATATTAACGGGATTGTTACCATGTACCTTGTTTTTTATGAGTCTCCGATATTTCGGCACTGTTGCAAGCGCCATGATCACGGAGTAACTGATCTGAACTCCGTGATCATGGCGCCTGCAACAGTGCCGAAATATCGGAGACTTATAAAAAACAAGGTACATGGTAACAATCCCGTTAATATCTATAATATTCTTACCCATTACTTAAATCATATAAAATACCTACCTGATATAATTTTAAATTAGAAGTTAAAACCTTAGCCTGTTTATTGGACTAAAAGGTGGGTTCAGACCACTCAATACTATTGCTTCTAGGATCCAGGTCATGGCATGACAATATCATGTGCCATACACATACGAGCTTAGAACTACAATACAATATACTGTATAGCACAATAATATAGTGTAGACTAAACACCCCATTTTTAATTAACTGAACATACTTCCAGTAGTTTATCATTTCTGCGAGAGAAAGAGAGAGAGAGGGAGAGAGAGAGAAACATTTTATTGAAAATAAATTATTGATAATAAAATGCAAATGTTGAAGATAATAAATACAATTAAATAAACAAAGAATAAGACAATTGTTCAATAATGACCTTGCTTATATGATATTTATTAATTTATAGGAACAAGGGTAGTGAGTGGTTAATTGTTTACAGCATGAAGCTGGAGTTGTGAGCATGGCAAACAAAGGGAAACCACACACGAACGCATCGCAGTTCTGTATCACGACAGTTCCGTGTCTACACCTAGATGACACTAATGTTGTGTTTGGACAAGTGCTTGCTGGGATGGGGACTGTTGAGGAGATGCAGGAAAGAAGCAAAGATGGCAAGCCCCTTATTGTAAGTGCTTCACATTTAATGTTTTTTTTATTATTATGTACCAATACATGATTTTATATGATGCAAAATAATTATAAACACAACAATAACAAATTATATTTTGAAATGGAAACTTTATTCATAAAGCGTCAAAAACGCGTGGCAGCATGAATTGCAAAGGTAATTTGCTAGTCTTAGTAGTATGTCGGGCTGTTTCCGCAACTAGACACCCAGTGTTGACATCCCAACTCCTTCAGAAAGCTGCGCAGTCCCCGGATGTTGCTGCAGGCCTCTACTATTGTCCTCGGGCTTCCCATTAGAGAAGTCCTTTGTCTTGCAACGCCCCTGCACACCAGTATAACATGGGCGCTCTACTGGTGTGCAAGGTGATTTGCTAATAAATTAGAAACGGTTTTGATTCACACACGCTGCATACGTTTCTGCCCCATATTTAGACAGACCTTGATTTCAAACGCAGTTAAAAACCGAAACTAATAAACGGTTCATATACAGTTAATAAAACATTCTGTACCGCATAGTTCGAATTATCTTAATCAATTGTGAATCTTATTTTAAGCACAATAAAGCTCACAATCAGTTGAACTAATTTGACAGTTTTGTATAACTTGACACAGGTCAACTAGACAGTTGGGCACAGGCCCAACTGTATATACTTTTACAAGACAAGACAAGACTTTACCCTGAGACAATTATGCTATTGCCAAAACAGAAACTGTAAAGGCACAAACAGACTATTGAAACGTGTCGCGACTCCACGTGTCGATACCCGCTGCGCACCGTGCATATTACCAATATGTTATGCCACGACACACAAGTAATTTTTGAAAACAGTTGTATTGCAGCAGTAAAAGCGTATAATCGTATGCTGTGTCTAATAGCGATTCAGATAAGATTTTCAAGAAGATTTTATGCACACCAAACAAACAAAAAGATTACCTAGACGTTACTGGGTGTATGAAATAAATCAAAAAAGAAGTACTTATGGTGAATATCATGCTCTGTATCCAGACTTGGTTGGGTTTGGTTTGACTCAACACGCGTCGCGTTTCAAAGGTCTATTTCCGCCTCAAGGGCCGATTCTAGGCTGAAGTGCGGAATAATTTTGAACTTCATGTATATATACTACGACCAGTATCGCTTAAAAACCTCGCTTAAGTCGCGCTGCTGCTCGAGGGGACTTGGGAACTTTCTAAGCAATACTAATAATAAAATACATAAATAAATACTAATTTGACGACTTCCGTGGCCGAGTAGTTTGTAAGCCAGGTTTCATGGTGTCGCCGACTCCAGAGGTCCCGGGTTCGAATCCCGGTGGAGGCAGATGTTGTGTGATGAATACGAGCATTTGTACTCCAGTCACGGATGTTTAATATGTATTTCTATATAAATATATTTATATAATTATGTACAGTATATATATTCTAACTGGTTACCCTTATATCACATAACACAAGCCTTACAGTGCTTACTTTAGGGCTAGGCTAATGTTTAAAAAAAAATACTAGTGTTTATGGGATGCTTGGTTCTTTCTTTAGGAGTGTTTGATCGCTGATTGTGGTGAAGTCATAGACGGGTGGGGGTTGCGAGCGCCCGATGATCGTCTACCAGAGCACCCTTCTGATCTGCACCATCTCAGTCTATTACCAGTGAGTACTCATTTTATTCTTTACTAGCGGTCACCCGCGACTTTGTACGCGTGAAGTTAATTAGAAATAAAGGTTCACTGCTCGTTTCCCATAGGTGATAGCGTGATAATATGTTGCCTATATGTTGACCGACTTCTTAATAATATTCGTGCAAAATTTAAATAAATCCATGCAGTTCTCTTTGATTTTATCCCGGACATACATACAGACAAAAAATCTCAAAACTATATTTTTTGTTTTGGGTATCGATTGTAGATCACACCCCAAGTATTCTTTAAAAAAAATATTCAATGTACAGTTTTGACTTTTCTATCATTTTAATATATGCATAGATAGATTCTTTCAAAATAAAACATGGCTACGAAACTGCCCTTAACGTGTATAAATATTTTGCACTAGCCTGTAACTTTACAATATTTTTTTATCTATCTAATTAAATTACCCGTGTTACCAGTTAATATGTAAGAATCAAGTTAGCGCGAATCAGCGATGATCGCGTACTTTATGTTCTATTAAAATGGATCTCAGGTTTAATTTTCACTCAATTAGTTAAAATCTGTCTATGCCTATTCCTGAACTACTATCCCCCATTTAGTAAACGTAGATTGCGCTTGGATTAGTTACACTATGATTTGTCTCTGTCCGTTGAATGATAAATGCCATATGAGTGACATTAACAAAACACGCCGTAACTAATCTAAACTTAATCCTTGTTTATTAATAAGGGGGCTAGTGTTCGGATGTTAGCTTTTCTCTGACCCTCTGTTAAACACAGTTGCCACAGCTGCTGTATTTCCGTATATCGATCTAATAAAATCTAAAGTTAGGACTTTAACACATAACATTTTTATGTATATGTTACGCTCAAAGATCGAAAACGCTCTGTGAGCTGAATAATAGCTCACAACGCGTTGTGGTCACAGTAAAACATCCACATGGCGAAATTCGTGTTATGGCTCTAATGAAAACGCGTACGACGCGTTGTGGCAATCACAGAAAGACCAAATAGCGAAATTCGTGTCGTGGCTGACATGCTATTCGATCTCAACGCGTTGTGGCAATGAAGAAAAGCCATGACGCGTTCTGAGCATTCATTGTTTTGACCATATCACGACGGACAGGTTGTAAGTTGATAGAGGACGTGCAGCACCCAGGAATGTTATGTGTGTTGTTATGAGCATTAATCCATCAGGTCTCTACCAGTTAGGAAACAAGGAAGGTAAAGAATCTTGAAAGAATTTTAAATTGTCATAAAAAATTAAAATCCCTAATTATTTTAAGTTAATTATAAGATATTACAAATGATTAATATTTTGTGTTCAGTAATTTATTACTTAATACGTTGATTTTTTTAAATATAAAGTTATCTCAATAAATAACAAATATCGTTTTATTTTAATTTATATAACATATTTAATAATGACAAACACGTTATGCAGTGATTTTATAAAATAAAAAATATTTCCTAAAGACATCTATCTACCAAAACGTTTCCAGCCAAGGCCTAGTAGGATCCATATCGGAAAGTAGTGTGCGTCGTAATCAAATAATATTCTATACGCGTCATGGCTTTTCTTCATTGCCACAACGCGTTGAGATCGAATAGCATGTCAGCCATGACACGAATTTCGCTATTTGGTCTTTCTGTGATTGCCACAACGCGTCGTGCGCGTTTTCATTAGAGCCATAACACGTGTTTCGCTATGTGGATGTTTTACTGTAACCACAACGCGTTGTGAGCTATTTTTCCGCTCACTGAGCGTTTTCGATCTTTGAGCGTAACATATACATATTAATGTTGTGTGTTAATTAGAAATCATTCAAACCTAAAACTTAAAAACATCAAACTTAGCCTTAAACGGTCTAATTTGTTTCAAAAACACGTAAATGACCCCGCAGAATCCTTATGGAAGCTGGCTCTCAGCCAATTTTTCTGTAACTTTGGGAGATGATAGCTCATGACACGAGGAATAAAAGACCACACATGGGCCTAATGGCCAAAAGTTCATAGATGAGGAGCTAACGCGTGTCAAAGTCGATAATGTATGGCCGTATAATGTTTCTAGTCCAGTCATTATAGTAAGTTCACCTCGGAATTCGAGATACCCAGCTGTAAGTCTGTAAATACTTGTATATTGACACCCTAAAAGTTGTCTCAAAACCTACATATACAAATATCGTTTTTTTGCGCTTTTTTTGTAAATATCTCATTTCCTATGGGTTTTTTGCTATTTGTATTTATTATCAATATTGTAGAATACAAAATTCTCTACAAATTTTGTTTGAAAAAATTTTTCATACGGTGAACCGTTTTCGAGATAGAGGGCGGAGAGCGCGCGGTCACAGCATCACTTCAGGTCAACCGGTGCCTCCGATCAAAAACGCGCCATATATAGTTGATGAACTATCGATAAATCAATGATTAAATAAATATTTGTCAATTTTTATTAACTATTATATTATATTTTATCATTTTTTCCTAACCTATCCACTTTTTATTCAGTATTAATTTATTTAACAACACTTACCTGCCCATGTAATTGCAGAATTGTTAATGAAAATATAGGAATTATATTTGAATTTAAACCTAATTAATATTAATAACTTCTTACATGATAAAAAAAAACAAATAAATTATGAATTTATATTTTACTAAAAAATATCATTCAATACATTTATTTTTATTAAAAGTAAAAAAATGGAATAAAGGGTACAAAAACTACAATTTATAATTTTAATTAATTTTTAATTTTAGGAAACGGTGATCAGTATTATTGAATAGATATAGATTTAAGGCATAAAGAAAATGATAAAATATAATATAATAGTTAATAAAAATTGACAAATATTTATAATCATTGATTTATCGATAGTTCATCAACTATATATGGCGCGTTTTTGACCGGAGGCACCGGTTGACCTGAAGTGATGCTGTGACTGCGCGCTCTCCGCCCTCTATCTCGAAAACGGTTCACCGTATGAAAAAATTTTTTAAACAAATTTGTAGAGAATTTTGTATTCTACAATATTAATAATAAATACAAATAGCAAAAAACCCATAGGAAATGAGATATTTACAAAAAAGCGCAAAAAACCGATTTTTGTGACCTTTGACCTTGAAAGGACATCGACGAAATCGGCCCTATCATGCCCAAAAGAATGTCCTTCACTATTATTTTTCTATTATTTTTTTAACTTATTAGCAATTAATCATAGTTAACGGACAATCTGTTTAAAAAAATAAAAAATTAAAAGTTCTGTTACTAGATACTACAGTCTGTTCATCCAACTTGGCACTACTTTTTATTGAAAATACACTATTAAAAATCAACTAAAAACTGGATTCAATAGGTTTCAGTCTATAATAACGATTTATTTTAATAGTTTATTGGCTTCGTTAATATTTTATTATTAAATGGGTGATTCTGTTAAAAAGTTGTGCCAAGATTGTTTACCTTAATAAATGCAATAAAGGCGACCATAGGTATTTATCAACATAAAAATATAACTAGATACCTTAGTTAATAATACTTATTACTAGTATTTATATTATATTTATAAAAAGATTATTTGTGAAATTATGTAAAGATAGTTTATACTCCCATCCCATGTAATATCTGTTTATTAAACCAACCATACCTAATTACCGATAGTAAAATATAGAAACAGGTAAATGGAAAGACTGAACATTTCATTTGAAAAGAAATCTATTATTACCTACTACAGGTAGGTATAGGTATCATAGGTGCCAACTGACAACACTCATAAATCAATATGAATATAAGCATTTATTATTTTTATTATTAATTACATTTTATGTTCATTTAATGTATATTATTTAAGTGCTTACATAGAGGTAAACACTAAATCTATTCAGAATATATAAAGTGTACATCTTTTACGATTAAATATAATAATTATAACCTCAAAATCGAATACATTCTGTAGTAGTCCACGGTTCCTCAACTTGTCCGTATCTCAACAAATGCTTAATAAGAGTTTATGAATGATTCCGAACACAACTAGCATTTTCTCATTGCTGGGCGTTCTAGGGCATTCAATGTATGGGGAACGAGCAATGTCCTTTAATAGTTGCGTACACCCTACCATATGTAGGTTTTGAGACAACTTTTAGGGTGTCAATATACAAGTATTTACAGACTTACAGCTGGGTATCTCGAATTCCGAGATTCTTACCTAATTTAAGCTTAAATGACTGGACTATTCTGTTGAACGGGAATTAAAAAATGGTTTTAGTTATGTACATTGTACACATATGTTTTTCGGGTTACTGAATTCGAATCCAGAGTCTTTCGATCCAGTCGGGTCAGCATCAAGGTCAGTTCAACGCCAAATCCAGAAAAATACTTCCAAGGTGATGAAAATCCATACAATCAAATGTTTTCTGGATTGTGAATCCAAATTCGATGTCAATTTGAAAGAAAATAGAAAAATTGGCCGAGAGGCAGCTTCCATAAGGATTCTGCGGGGTCCCTTGTCAAACAAACGTGATCGTTTATGGGGCTCTTTACACTCTCTATTGAATACAAGTTTACAAATGATACATCCACAGTTAGAACAGCTTATAGCGAGTGTTAAGGAGGTGAAGTGTATCGGGAACGTTTACTTCAGCAAAGGACGGTATAAGGCGGCCGCGCGCAAGTATACAAAATGTCTGCGGTACATACGACACGTGCGAGACCAGATTGTAACTTTAAAAGATGACATGCAACAAGACGCTTGTGAGTATAAAAAAATCTGTTAATATACTGACCATTAACAGGCAGTCCTCGACTTAAGTCGTTTCGATTTACGTGGTTTCAAGTCAACGTCAAACAATGTTTTGACACTATTCCTCCAGCATACGTCAATTGTTTCGATTTCCGGCATAGGAGAATTCACTTGTCGCGAGGTCAATGTCTGTGGGGCCATCGTCCGTGGAGATGTTTCGACTTACGTCGTTTCGATTTACGTCGCGTATTTCCAGAACCTAACATGCCATAAGTACGAGGACTGCTTGTATTATATTTATTTTAAACATTTATAAATCTCAAGAAAATTTTGCCAAATCTGTTAGCTGGCTATCAGGCCAAAATGAAAAATAAAAAAAAATACACACAATATAAGCCCATAAAAAGATACTCGGGTTTTACGTGTCCTGGTGCATGGCAATTAAAAGTCTGTTTAAAGTAGCATCGCTATCAGAGTGTTCACCCAGAAACCTGGACTAATTTTAATGTTTTCTAATAAAATAAGGACGGGCGAAATGTGACCCACTGACCAAAAACAACCAGATGTAAGTCATAGGAAAGATGACTTTACGACTACATATTATTTTTTTACTATGGGAGCTCGTCTCATTTCACTGTAGGAAAATAATTATATCTTAATGAAATCTAATAAAAAGGCTTTTGTTTGTTTTTTAGGGTTCGGTACCTCAAAAGTAAAAAAGGGAACCCTTATAGGATCACTTTGTTGTCCGTCCGTCCGTCCGTTCATCTGTCAAGACCGTTTTTCTCAGAAACGCGTGGAGGTATCAAACTGAAATTCATATCTAATACTTAGGTCTACTGTCCCTTGGAGCTGTGAAAAAATCAAACTGCTAAGCCAAAGCAATCAAAAGATACAGCCGTTTATGTCGCATATTTTCGCAAATTTTCGAAACTCGCACTGGAACCAAAACCTACAGGGTACTTCCCGTGAACTTAGAATCTTGGAATTTGGTACGAAGTAACGTCTTATAGTACAGATAAAGGAAAAAATGCGAAAACCGTAAATTTTTAGTTACATCATATAAAAAATAATATGTTGTAATAATTATTAAAATATACCTACAGTTTTGTTCGGAACCCTCGGTGCGCGAGTCCGACTCGCACTTGGCCGGTTTTTTACTACAACTTTTCCGACAACCAATTGAGACTTGGCCCCATAGTAAAAAAAAGCTGAACGTTATTGATTGGTGGGTACATGTCTACATTTGTGTCCGTTCTCCTTTAATTAAATTAAGACCCGGATAATAACCCGGGTTTCAGTCCTGTCTGCTGCCTGGTCCGCGTGGAATTTTTTGTAGTAAAAATTTCTTTATTTAATTAAACACTAGCTTTCCGTAAAGCCGCTAGGGCTTTACGGAAATCCCTCAGGAACCTAACACTTTTCCGACATTAAAAGAATCCTACGTCTCTTTCCACATTATAAGTGTGAAAAATCTTTCTTTATCTTTATTTTCAGATAGCGACATTATGTCTACGCACACTTTACAATGTCATCTGAACTTGGCAGCTTGTTACATGAAACTGGAGGATTATAATTCGTGTGTTCAATGTTGTACAGAGGTAATTACATACTCACTAATTTTAAACTAATGTACGCTTTGAAATAAATGTTATCTCTTATTCTTATCCTTTAGCATGTAACACAGCATAGGATTAATGTATTTTTCAATGTGATAGTGCCGCAATTAAACTTTCGGTAAGTAGCTACCATAGCCTATAGACGCTTGTGAAACCAGAGTATCGCTTGAGAGTTTTCAATACACAACCCCTTGTAGATCTGACACCTTAAAGCATATATTAAACACTGAAATTAGTATTGTTAGGTTAGTCTAACTGTAAGTTACTTCCCCGTAAGAGAGCTCCTATTTGAGCGAGGAATCAGCTTTTTCCTGTCTTTCTTACATTTTTTGATAATTACGATGTGTATTACCTTTCTAGCATCTTTATACTAATATTATAGATACCATAGATAAACATTATAGAAGTTTTCATACGGAACCCTAACTTTTATGAAAATACGCTATAGCCTATAAATAGTGATAATGCAGCATTCAAATTGTGAAAGATTTTTTAAAATCGGTCCAATACTTTTTGAGCCAATTTATTACAAACATACGTACATAAATTTTTCCTCTTTATAATATTAGTATAGATAATTCTGCAAAATTCAAAGTAAATAATATAAAGTTTTATAGGTAAATCACCCTTTCCATCACCCTACGCCTATAAGTATTGCGATATTGTAGCTTAGAACTAAGGCCCATCTATTTCTATAGGGAAATTAATCATAATCGTTTTAGCTATTAGGGCGCGGAAGCGTAAAAAACAAACTCAGTTTAGCATCTATAATATTATATTATATTTACTAGTGATCCACCCCGGCATTACATGGGCGAAATTAATTTTAACAGGATAAAATGTAGCCTATGTTACTGGGATAAAATGTAGTTATATAAAAAATACTAGAAGAATTTCCTCTCGGGGAAGTTGTCAGTGTATTTTTTTCAACTAAAAGTTTTCTTTACATTTATAAATCGAGCAGATTAATCAACGATATTGAGATTAATGCTTGAAAATATAATAATAAATAATGTAGCCACCTTATGATGAATGATATACTTAACAGAATTATAGACTACCTGCTGGACTTGTTTTTTTATTTTCAGTTTTTATCTCAAGTTATATTTTAGCCGTTAAATCCGTAGCGTTTAATACGTTATGGGAAACGTCCATAATCCCGGATCCGAATTAACAAGTACTTGCTGAACTATGGCACTGGCGTCGTCGCTGTGAATTGGAGAATCTATGTCAATCTGTTCTTCTTGATTGCTTGATGACAGCACAAGAGTTTCAGCGTCAAATTTTGATTGGCTAGAGTTTGATCCAAACTCTACGTCTAACTGACGTTCGCTCTCGGTGCTGAGTCCATCTGGAGCATTTCCTAACGATATCTCGGACGTTTGTTGTGTAGAAGTCGAATCTATCGATTCAGATGGTTCTGTACTACCAGATGCAGTTTGGTTGAGGAACTTCATCATATTAAACTCAAAACCTGGTTGGATGCAGTTTTTTCAGCTTTTCTTGTTCTTTTTGCTGATCCAGACTCCCATTTTCTCCCAATATCTCTATCTCGGCCGGACATGTCGATAACGTCGTATCTGTAACCTATAAGTATTATGGGCAAGATTCCCTGTCGCTGAGTGTAGTTAGGTTAGTCTTAACTGTAAGTTCCCTTCCCGTAAGAGAGCACCTATTAGAATCCGCTTTTTCCTATCTTTCTTACATTGTTTTTGTTAATTACGATGTGTATTACCTTTCTTGCATTTTTATATTATTATAGCTACCATACATAAAAAACAAAAAAAATGGTTAGTCTAACCGAAGGTTATTTCCCCGTACGAGAGCTCCTATTTAAGCGAGAAATCTGCTTTTTCCTATCTTTCCCACATTTTTTGATAATTACGATGTGAACCTTTCTAGCATCTTTATATTAATATTATAGCTACCATAGATATAAAACACAAAAATTGTATTGTTAGATTAGTATAACTGTAGGTTACATCATCGCTCCATTTCAAGTTGAAAATCCGATTTTTTTCCTGTCTTCCTATTTTTTTTTTTGATAATTATAATGTCTATAACCTTTCTAGCATCTTAATATTATTATTCAGGTATTAGAAAACGACGGACGAAACGAAAAAGCTCTATACCGGAGAGGTCAAGCGAATTTCGCCCTTAACAACTACGACGCAGCGCTCTCAGATCTCAAGCAAGCAGAAAAAGTGTCCCCCACCAATAAAGCGGTCCAGAAGCTTCTAGAGGAAGTAAGGTACTCGAACAAGAACTACAACGATATACAAAAACAGAGGCTGTCAAAATTTTTTCGTGACCAGAAAGAGAAAGGCCTCGCAATCTGCGATAACTGAACTAAGACTGAATGTGATTATATACAATTACGGTGTGTGAACATGATGAGGTAATGGCAATGTTTCACGATATGAAACGTTATAAAATGTTTTGCAACATGTTTCAACAATCAAACTTGCGGTAGGCTGTGTTCGCATAGACCGTGCGTTATGAATACAATTACGGTGTGTGAACATGATGAGGTAATGGCAATGTTTCACGATATGAAACGTTATAAAATGTTTTGCAACATGTTTCAACAATCAAACTTGCGGTAGGCTGTGTTCGCATAAACTATGCGTTATGAATACATGTTTTATAGACAATATAAACTCAATAATAGAATGAGGTAAATGATAAAATCTTATGACATGATGCAACGTATTGACTGAAATTTCAAACATGTTTTAAAACAAGGTGTTTGACAAGGCCAACGTATTTTAAACATTGTGGGAGACAAAAGGTTTTTGCATGTTTGTTAACGCATGAAAGAATTACCAGTTTGTGTAAAATGATGGGTATGAGCTTACTTATGACGGCAAATATTATTACAATTTTATACTTAGATATTACAAATCGCCCAAATCCTAAATTATATTAAAATATGTAGTGATTACCGATTTTAAAATAATACATATGGGCGAAGGATATTGCTCCTTTTTACTAAGCAGAGTAAATTTGAATTTGACTCCACTTATAAATGCATGGAATATTCAACCTTAAAGTGTTACTGATAAAGACTATGTCCTTAATTGTCTTAATGTTAATTTATATTTTATGTTACATAATACGTTTTCGAACGTAGTGTTTTTTACCTACCGTTTACGTATAACCAAAATGTGAGTCGTTTTCTTTGCACTTGAGTGTATTAAAAACAATAATGTTTAATTGTCCCATAAAAACTGGTTAGTTAGTTTAACATGACGATCGTACTGGTGTCCACGAATATTATACAATTAGTCAGTGAATTTAGTTCCTTTAGACTGCCATAGAATATGGTGCAAATAAGTTTAAGGCAAAATCTAAAATACAATCGTTCGAAAGAGGTAACGAGAGAGGGTAACGCGGATTCATTTGATTCGTGTCGTGAGACCTTTTCTGAGTACTATGTTACTACGTTTATGGAATTTAGAATAGGCTTCAAAGATCTGTGATCGATTGAAATAATTATAAATGCTATATTGTTTTAAACTTTCATGGTCACTAACATTGTAGTAATATAAGTTATTTACGGGATTGTCCTTGTTTTTAGCGAGTTTCCGATATTTCGGCAGTGTTGCAAGACGGAGTAATAGACCAAGAGCTACTGAACCCTCCGAGTAACGGCCTGTCTTTAAAGCTAGAAATTCTTATGGTGATGAGTCATAGCATGCTAAGTACGGTAAGCATAGCCTGGCACTCCTCAGCCCTGTACGTCATCAAACCGTGTATTTTTGAAAGTGTTAATAAAATATTAAAATAAACTTGTTGCTGTAAGCTTGAAATTTTTATGCAATTAAGTTCATTCATTATAAAGATTAAAAAAAATTGCCAGGCGTTTACGATGAGCACAAGTACCTGCCAGGCGAACCGGAAGGTGTGTAATATATACATAAAAAAATGGGTGCGTGTACTTATGTAGGCGCGTGAGAAGTTATCCTTCTTTGGCATCGTTTAAAATTAGTTTTTAATTGCATGCAAATAATTAATTACAATAAATTAATAAAAAGTCTGGAAAAGGACGAAGTCAATAAAGTTCAGTTTTAATTTGAAAAAATAAATAAATAATCAAAATATTCAATTAAAATCGCTACTGAATATAATTTATTAGAACCTATGTGATTTGCACTTGTATGAAACTCAAACACGTATTCCGAATATACAAACTAGAAACATGTGGATAAATATTATAAATATGAATACCTATAACTGTTACTTTATTACAAAAAATAAAGATGTGGTTTTTGGTTCTACTACACCAATGGTCAAGAGATGGCGCTGTAGTCTCCTGAATCGCGCTTTGGTTCCGTTGTTCCAGATTAATAAATACTTTTTGTTACTTTATTACAAAAAATAAAGATGTGGTTTTTGGTTCTACTACACCAATGGTCAAAAGATGGCGCTGTAGTCTCCTGAATCGCGCTTTGGTTCCGTTGTTCCAGATTAATAAATACTTTTGATAGGCCTTCACAATGCAGTCGTTAGCACCCACTAAATAGAGATTCTATTTCTATTTTGTTGGTAGATTTTCTTAATGTGCGGTAAACACAAAAGTAACGCATGAAGTTGGTCGCTAAGCGACCAACTTCATTATGTTAAAATTTTGTGTTACAGTGATGCGCGCGCATCTTAAAATTTCACTCTCATCATCATTTTTTCATAACGCGCCTAAAGAAGTATAACTTCAAAAATAAACTTTATTCTGTAAAGTTGAAATTTATATATGTGTTTGTTCAAGCGATTTAAAGTAAGTAGGTAGAATGCCAGGCGGTTCTGGCTAGCACAAGTCCTTGCCAGGCGAGGGGAAAGATGCTGCGGCAGTGCGAGTAAAGGTACTAATCTGTGCATCGCGATCGATCGCGGCCGCCGCGGCCTACGACTGTCGTCGGTCGTTCGCGACAATAGTCATAGTATGAAAATGTATGGCACCGTTTCCGTGGCCAGCGTTAGACGCGCTCAATATAAAACAGTGAAATTCTGCGTAAGATTTTACATAGATAAATCGTTGTTACCTCCGACGGTTTTTTTTCAGGTATAGGACCTATTTTCCAGTTAGATAAACTGTCTCAATCGCACCGCCGAGTTCACGTTGAGCCGCTTACTCGCACTTCCATAACATCTTTCCCTTCACGAGGCAAGGACTTATGCTAGCCAGAACCGCCTGTCATTTTACCTACTTACTTTAAATCGCAAATAAAAATATAATAAAACGTTACCTAGTTAAACTTAATGCAAATAATATGACACTACAGACACACAGACTAAGTTCTTTATACTTTCCAACAATATGGGTATCAAAGTACTTTCTAAGAATATGGGGGTTTTGAAGTCCTCGATTATATCCAGCGATAACTAAAAAGTAAAAAATATATTAAAATTAAAAAACTTTTTATAAACAAACTTTTATTTAAATGCGCTAAAAAGAATAAAATGCCGAAAATGAGTCAAGTGACGCTGAAGAACACATTAAAGGTAATACACATTTCATAAAAATATATGAAATTCTATATAATTGAGCGCAAGGTCAGAGATGTAATGTTATTCTTAATGTATTAATAAAACTCTGTTTCTTATTAGATGATGAAATCAGGAACTAAGAATCCTCTTATGAAGATGAAGATTTATTAATTAATTTAAAGACTTATAATAATAAAAAATATTTTACCCACAACTTATTTTCACATCATTTAATTTGCATGAATAATATACCGTAAGTTTTCATACTACGACTCTTACTCGCACTACCGCAGCATCTTTCCCCTCGCCTGGCAAGGACTTGTGCTAGCCAGAACCGCCTGGCATTATACCTACTTACTTTAAATCGCTTAAATAAACACATATATAAATTTCAACTTTACAGAATAAAGTTTATTTTTATGTATATATTACACAGCTTCCGGTTCGCCTGGCGGGTACTTGTGCTCATTGTAAACCCATGGCAATTTTTTTTAAACTAAAAAATGAATAAACTAAATTTTATAAAAATTTCAAGCTTACAGCTACAACTTTTTTTTAATATTTTTTGACACTTTCAAAAATACACGGCTGAGGAGTGCCACCAGGCGATGCTTACCGTACTAAGCATGCTATGACTCATCACCATGAGAATTTCTAGCCTTACGACAGACCGTTACTCGGAGGGTTCAGTAGCTCTCCTACTATAACTGAAGTAATTGCGGGTAGGCTGTTATTGGCAGACATATCGGTCTACCCTCCGACGAAGTCTTTTATTGTGTTCGATACCCGTACCACTGTTCACATTCTCACTATTCACTCGAAACTGTTCTCGACACACAACACTTACAGTATCCTATCGCGACACGACACTTTTTTTTTATTAGTTCCGGTTTTACACATACGAACCACAGGATTCCAGACATTCGACAATTTAAATCCGTCCTTACGATTGAAATTTTTATGTTTTGTTATTTCAATCGCTTCCCTGACCAATCTTGGTATGTAGTGGCGTTCTGTCAAGATAATCTGTGGGTTATGAAACTCAATCCAGTGGTTAGGACCAGAATCAATCAAATGTTCCGGGATGGCTAATTTCTGCGTATCGTTGTTCTTGATTGCTTTTATGTGTTCCCTCATTCGGCATGATACCGCTCGCTTTGTTAGGCCACAACTGCAATCGATCTTATAGACACCAGGTTTCTCCAAGGGGAAGTTGTCTTTAGGAGATCGTAGGTATTGTGAAACCATTCGAAAAGGAGTGAAGACAGTGTTTAGTGAGTACTTATTTAGTATGAAAGGAGTGACTGACAAGACTCAAACAGTCTTGTCAGTCACTCCTTTGACATATGGCAAATAAACAGGTTGTCTGTCTACTCTGTGTCTCTGGTGTCTTAGTTTGTGTCTAGATGGAAAATATCCCTGGTATCCTTTACTCTGTAAGACTCATCGTACATGCTCCAACTCTTCTTGAAGATGTTCCTTATCACACAGGTCATATGCACGGTTCGTCAGTGAAGCCACTACAGAGTTAAGATGTTTTTACTTTATTTCATGTTATTATATTTCGTCATAGCAACAATAGAAATGCAAACTCTGTGAATAGTTAAACTGTTTACCTATTACGGTTTATGAGATTTCTGATACATCATCTTTTGGTACGGAACTATGACGATAATACAATCAATGCCTTGTCCGCATAATTTGCCGTGCAAACAACCTAAGCCAATAAACACTAGGCGATTTTCGTCAACCTCAATAGGCTAGCCTATATAGATCTGGGAAATTTACCTCTGCTTTCGAAACAGATCAATAAAAATCTTTAGAACGAGGTTAAAAATAAGCCACCAGGGTAGATAGAATAAGAGGAAAATTCTTTGCCTCATTTTTACAAAAATGGTATTTCATTAATTATTAAAAACCCTCCTTGCTGCGCAGGCGGTGAAATTAGATACTACGAAATGCTGTACATTATTAAAAAGAATATTTGGTAAGACACACAATAACATTAAGATACTGCCAGTAGTAATAATATTATTTATAGGTAGTGCTTTCGTAAAAATAGACTGTTTCAAATCTATCTTCCTATATACATATATAAAAAACGATGTGTATGCTTAGATTAAAACAAATAGGGAAGATACGGTACGCTCATACTAGCATTAAATAAAATATGATCGGACTCAACTACATAAGCAACTCTCACACACGCATACTTCTATAAATATGTAACATCCAATCGAGCGAGCGAGACAGAATTGTTCGCTTCAAAGCAGCGCGAGCGAAACGGCGCGAGTCCTCGTCGCTTTGCAGCCGGCTGCGTTTTCTTTTCTCTCTCTACAGACGGCTGAGTTGTATTGTTGTCCTTTTCTTAATAAAATTGGCGAATCAGTAACTAACATTCAAGGCAAACCGTGATTTTTGAAAAAAAAATGTTTTTATAGTTCTATGAAAAGTCTTGCCGTGGCATTGGTTTTTTAATCACGAACTATTTGTGTTCTTTATAAAGGCATTTTTTTATCTTTTTAATACAAAATATACGCAATATTGTTATATTGAGCTAACATGCATCGTTTTTGGATGTTCAATTGTGACTAAAGCTAATTGTGGTCATGCACCACAATTTACGCGGATCACTTTTGAGTCGGGAGTGCCGTATCTACCCTTTTTATTTTAATCTAAGTGTGTATGTCATAGCATTGCATCAAATGAAAACAGATCTGTGCTTATTGTTTTCTTAAAATAAAATATGTTCGATTCTTATTTATCGGAGCGTAGCGCAGCGCATATTACAATTTGCTGAAGGAAATTGAAACACGCGCTGCGCTGCGACGCGTGCCGTTAAGTGAGAATCGTACATTAGCCACCTTATTGACAAACAAAGACAGCTTGGATTAGTTACTCCATGTTTTGTCTCTTTCTATTGAATGACAAATGGCATTTGAGTGACATGAACAAAAGACGGCGTAACTAGTCTAAGTTTATTCCTTGTTTGTTATAAAGGGGGTTGAATACTAACTAAAGAACCGTACCATGATAAATCTCAATACTTCTTAATTTTTATTAATAGGCTAGTTGACACTTTTTGAAATATGTTTTAAATGGTTAATAATTGTTCAAATAGACCGAAAAAAAAGTATTGTATTTTTTTTGACCTAGAAAGCTACAAAACTTTAATTTTAAAATAGAATTTTCATGGACATACAAAAACGCTGTCGGCCATTTTAGTCTATAGATTATTATCTATGGTATGACGGGAACAAAATAGTTAACAAACACTCGCAAGCACGTAGGATATAACCTATCTGATTTACATTACGAAACCATGATTGCTAATAGATTTCATCATAAATATAGTAATTATCATGATTGTATTATACGAGAACATAGAAACACATCGTTAAAGACTCCAGAAATGTTGTGGTTTAAATTTTTAAGGTTATGAATGTACCTGCTA